TACACACACAATATTTAAATATAATTTGTTAACACTAAATCATACACACGTAAGAAAATAACAGAAAGAAAAGTAACTTTGTCAATAGAATAAACACTTACATCCGTGGCCTTTGATGCGTTAAAGTAACACAAATGTAGTATTGATAGATCCACTGCGGTCAAACGACCATACACTAACTCCATGACTGCACTTGCTTGGTCTTATATAGTACCAGTAAGTAATAATTCTAATCTAAAGAATTTCTGCAGTGGAATTGATAGTAACTTTATGCGTCAACAAGCTTATCTCACATTTTGTTGCTTATCTCAACATTACTTCGTGTCGCGTCTTGTTCAGTGTATTGATGACTCAAATACGTTTTGTATAACACAAAATAATGCAATTTAATATTTAGAAATCACTATAATTGATCATTCCTATGTTAGTCATTGAGTAGATTGTACTGTAATAATCTACTAATAGCAGTAATATCACGGATACACTAGATGTACAACAACATCTGAAAAAGATTCACCCCACTCTAGAAAATAATGTTTATGCTGCCAATAAACTGCCCATGTACACCCACGTACCAACGTATATAATATGCAATTTGGATACAGATGATAAACCAGGGTCACATTGGGTAGCTTTATATATCGATACGAACGACGTCGGTCAATATTTTGATTCATACGGACGAGCACCTGTACGATATCATCTAGAGTTTTTAAAAAGGAATTGTAAAAGATGGAACTGGAATGTTGATAGGATTCAGAATGAGTGGACTTCAGTTTGTGGCGAATATTGCTTAATGTATTTGCTATATAAGTTTCAGGGATGTTCAATGCATAGTTTTACGAGTATATTTACAGAGAACACATTGTACAACGATATTTTAGTGGATGAGATGTTTCGCTCCTATTTTATAGATAATAAGTAATAAGATTTTGTATTTTGTAAATAAAAATTTTAACAAAATTAGGTAATGTGTTTTATTGATGAGTCAGATTAGTGTAGATAGGGACAAAGGAGTATAATACAATAGCACCACGCTGAGGAAGAATAGATAATGACGGTATTCAATGAACAATAGATAAATAGATAAGAACAATGGAGCGCTAATGACGTTGGAGGCCTTCACCGGATATCAATTAGATAAGAGTTAATTGATCTGCACATCTCCGGAACCGTGCATCCTACGCAAAAATGGACCGCAAATTCGTGATCACAGCATGCCAAAACTTTTTTTTTTTGGATCGTGAGTCGACGAACGTCGTACTTGTACCACTTCTGACTCAGTGAGCCAGAACTGGTACAACGTAACTACTATGGTACCCTAAAGCTTAAGTACCGGATGTTCATCTGTACCATAATGTATGTTCAGGAGGCCATCTGGGGGTTAAACGAACTCTACTGAAGATCCGAGAACGGTTTTACTAGGTCCACTGTCGAAACGATGTCGAGGACTGGTGTCGCAAATGTACAAGTTGTGCGGCTGTAAAGGGACCTCAGACTCGTAGTAGAGGTGCATTGAAGTTGTACAATATTGGTGCACCATGGGAGAGAATAGCCATTGACGTGGCGGGGCCGTTTCCGGAGAGTGAAAGCGGTAACAAGTATTTCATGGTTGTAATGGATTACTTCACTAAGTGGCCAGAAGTCTTCGCAATTCCAAATCAAGAAGCGTCAACAGTTGCAGATAAACTAGTTCATTAAGTCTTCTGTCGTTTTGGAATACCTTTAGAGATTCACAGCGATCAAGGAAGGAATTTTGAATCTAAAATATTCCAGGAAACTTGCCCAGTTATGGGTACTCATAAAACAAGAACGACTTCTTATCACCCGCAATCTGATGGAATGGTAGAACGATCAGACATTGGAGAGGTACCTAGCAAAAGTTGTAGACAATCTGCAACGAGATTGGGACAAGCACGTACAACCGTTTTTGTTGTCATATCGAAGCGCTATTCACGAAAGTACATCAGTGACACCAACTTTCGTAAACTTCGGAAGAGAATTACGGCTGCCTGCAGACCTGATCACCGGGATACCACCTGATGCCCCACGCAGTATAACCGATTATGCAAATGACTTGCGGAACAAAATGAATGATATTTATGAGCACGTCAGACAATCGGGCCAGCAAACGTCTGAAAAGATGAAAACCCGGTATGACCGCAAAATAAACAAAAGGTTTTCGACGAAGGTTCACTAGTGTGGTTGCACAATCCAGTCTGCAGCAAAGGGAAATCTCCTAAGCTTCAAGCTAAATGGGACGGCCCGTACCGGATTGTGACCAGGATCAACGATGTAACCTACCGGATACAGAAAGGCGCAAGAAGGACTCTTAAGATCGTCCATGTGGATCGCCTGGCTCGTTATTATGGGGCCGATAATACTCGGGACGAGCATGTCTTAGGAGGGGGCAGTGTTGCGCGCCTAAGTTGACGTCAGGTACCCGGAACTAGCGGCATCTAGTGTCGGGACCAGAGCGAGGGGAGCTTCCTAGAAAATGTCAATCTTGACTTTCGACCAACAGCTCCATCTAGTATCGAACAGAAGAATTAAGCTTTCTAGAAGCCCCACACTCGAGCTTTCTGCGCCTGGTCGGTTGACGCGCGTATTTACTTGAATATTCTGAATGTTTCGGTGAAAAAGGTGTATTTAAAGGCGCTGCAAGACGCGATCGGGGCAGTATTTATTGAATTTGGCGAGACAAGCGAAGCTTTGGAGCGAAATAAAGTGAATCAGTGTGATTAATTATTAGTGTCTTTTAACTTTTAATTGGTGTTCGGTAATAAAAGTGTAAATTTTGGTAATTCAATCGGCAGTTTTTATTGTCTGAAATATTGTGTATGAAAGAGTAATGTGAAATTAAAGGTCTCCGTTTGAATGCTAATAAAACTAAGGTTCTGGTATTTGAAAAGGGCGAAGAGAGAATGAAATGTGAAATATGGGTAAATCAGGAATGTCTAGAACAGGTAAATGAAATTGTATATTTGGGGAGTGCTTTCAGCTAGGATGGAAGATGTGATTTAGATGTGGACAGGCGTGTCGCTGCCGGAAACAAAGACAATGGTGCCCTGAATGCGTTAGTCAAAAGGCAAGGCGTAGTGAAGAGTGCACGCCTTGCAATACATAACGCAGTGTTGGTACCGACTTTGTTATATGGCAGTGAAACCTGGGTATGCCAGAAGAAGCATAAAAGCAAGTTGAATGCAGTGGAGATGCGATCTCTTCATAAAATGTGCGGCGTTACCATAGCCGACCGAAAGCGAAACAAAGAGATTTGCAATATGGCAGGATTGAAAGATGACCTTATCACAAAAATTGATAGGGGCGTACTCCGATGGTTTGGGCACGTTGAGCGAATGAGTGAAGACCGAATGGTGAAGAAAATATGTAGCGCGTAAGTAAATATTAAAAGGTGTCGAGGTAGACCGAGACTAACTTTTGAAGACCATGTGAGCAAATTACTCGAAGAGGGGAAGGTCAAGAGTACTCGGATACCTAGACGTGCATGTATGAAGAAGATAATGAACCTGAAAGAAGCGTAAGAGGTATGTAAGGATCGTGACACTTGGCGATCTGTTCTCTCTGGCTACCCCGTTAGGAATTGTGCGTGAAGATAAGTAAGTTTTTATTGTCACGAACCTCAAGCTCGTAACAATACGTATAATAAACCAACTAACCAACATATATACCACAGTTAGTATTATACAAATCGAAATCGTACTTTTTGCATAAATTGTTAAAATTATTACTAGTTCACCATATGAAAGTATTTCTTCCATAATTAGTAGATAAAGCAGTAATGCATTAGTTCTAAGGTTCACCGTAGGCAATCTCAGTGATACTTGTGATAACAAAAGTGTAGTCAATACTGCTAGAACAGATTTTTAATCAAGATACAATGTCACAAGATGATGCTGCTTGCATAAGGATAGGTAGTCTTCTGATTGTTAGTTTGTATGGGCACAATAACAACAATGAACAACTACCAAATAAATAACAAAAAAAAACTTGTGTTGAATACTTTTAAGTTTTGAAATAATAATAATGATAAATAAATAAATTTTTATTTCAATAAACTGTACAATTAATTCAAACAATGTCTTAATTTATAGCAGTCTACAATAACAGGCACCTGAACTGAACATGTATCTCAGTTCTATGTGTTAGTAGTTACATTAACAAATATTTTCTTTCTTATATAAAATGAATAACATAAATGTATGTGTTATACGTCGGATTCCAGATTTGCGAAGCATATTAAAGTGTATTGCGAACGTAAGCACAGTACAAGATATTAATCGTTTTAATGTTGTGTAACTCTTTTGCAGTACGCATGATAAAACCTAATGCCTTGGATGCCCTGGCTATAATATTATCAACATAGATATTGAATAATAACGTAAACTCGTGGAAAATCCCTAGATTACGTTCAACAGATGCAATCACTTGAAAGGCTAGAAATATTTGGCCTTGCGGGTGTTAACTGAAATGAACTATATTTTGCTTGCGTTTCGATGGGTTTAGATGAAGCTTGTTGATTGCATAGTATTCCTCCTATCTTAATAGGTCTTCCTGTTGCTCAAAGTCAGCCTGATTTGAGATAGTGTTAATACATATTTTCATCCGCAAAACACAATAGGCGTGATTATTTAAAGCAGGTTTCAATGTCGCGTTAACAATCAAGCAAGCGAGTAAGGAGCCTAATGGTACGCCAGTCTGTGTTGACACCCAACCAGATACATAATTGTTAACATATACAGCTTGCGTTCAATTGTCGATATAAAAGGAGAACCACTGCAGTAAGTCTTCACAGAAACCAATATACTGAAGTTTTTTTTAAAGCAGATTATGTTCAATCCTGTCGAAAGCCTTACTGTAATCTAATGATGTCAACTATACGTCTTTAGTCAAGAATGAATGAATTAGTACCAAGTTAGAAAGCATGTTGACACTGGCTCATGTTTGTTCGAGTAGCATTAATGGTACGGTTGCACTTGCAGGTGCTGCGGGCGTGCGTGGCGGCGATATTCGAGTGTCGGTACGCTGACGCGCGTAAGTCGTTCCCCGCCGTGTTGCGCGCGCTGCGTGCGCCGGCCGCGCGCGCCGCGCTCGTTCGCGACCTGGCTGCGCGCCTGCCCACCAACAAGCACCTGCTGCAGCACCACCAGTTCGAGCTGCTCGTCAGGTGCGTACACGCCGCGCTTTTGCGCGACCTCATGTTGCCTAGCTTCAAATCCATCTCCTCTCCATGGACGGGTATGCGCTGACCGGTGGCATTCACCAAGTTAATGTGTTCTCGGTTGAGTTCCCAAGCAATTGACTTATAAGTTGGAAACTGACAATCGTGCGAGAGTGTGCAAACAATACTGGTCAGATCTTGATCAAATTTATATGGGACCACATGAGAAGCAACAACTTTCAAATAAAAAAAGAATCATCAAAAGTTCTGAGGTAACACACATAAAATAAAAAGATATAGTTACATGTGATTTTATTTCATCTTCCACATTAAAATATTCAACTAAAAAGCAATAGTGACTATATACCAGCTTAATTCATACCTAATTAATATACATATACATACATATACATAAACACTCACGCCTGTCACCCAGTGGGGTAGGCAGAGACTACGGACTTCCATTTGGCACGATCCTGACATACCTCTTTCGCCTCCTTTACATCCATATATCTACGCATACATGCTCGTCGGTTAAGGGTACTTCTAACGTGGCCCATTTTCAAAATATCGCCAATTTGGTCGATAAACTTTTTCCTAGGGCGTCCCTTCCCGACTCGGCCATTCACATCTGCCATATAAATTTGCTTTGTCACTCTTTCCTCATTCATTCTTTCTACGTGACCAAACCACCGAAGCATTCCTTTCTTAATCCTGGTCACAACATCATCTTGCATACCACATTTATCTCTTATCACGCAATTTCTCACCCTGTCATTCAGATTACACCCTAGCATATTCCTTAAAGACCGCATTTCTACAGCATTTATTTTACTTTCGTGCTTCTTCTGCCACACCCAGCTTTCACTACCATACATTAAAGTAGGGACTAACACAGCATTATGAATTACCATACGTGCCTGTTTTGACAAATTCTGGTTCTTCATAATAGAGTGTAGTGCCCCATTCACTCTATTCCCTGCATTTACTCGTCGTTCTATATCCCTATCATATCTACCATCCCTGCTAAATACACATCCCAAATACACAAACTCATCCACTTGCTCAATCAACTCTCCTTCAATTCAAATTTCACATACCGTTTTGCTTTCTTCTCTTTCAAAAACCATCACTTTCGTCTTACTTGCGTTCACTTTCATTCCCCTTTCTTTTAATTCCCAGTTCATTAATGTAACCATCATTTGCAACTCTGCCGCCGATGACGCAAGTATGACTTGATCATCGGCATACAAAAGGCATTTGACGGTTAACTCGCCCATTCTTAACCCACATTCTTCATCTTTCAAAGTTTGCAAACACCGGTCCATAAATAGGTTGAACCTTTTTGGATGCCAAACCAGTCCGAGTAGACCCCATTGATCCTGACACAAGCACTAGAGTCCCTATAAAGAGACCTTAATGCCTGTATCAAACCAGCGCTCAACCCATATGAGTTCAGTGTTTGCCATAACACATTCCTGTCCACTCTGTCATAAGCCTTTTCCAAGTCCATGAACGCACAAAAAACTTTCTGGTTTTTGGCCAAAAACTTCTCCGCAATCATGCGCATGGAAAAGACTTGATCTGTACACCCCATTCCCTTTCTAAAACCCGCTTGCACATCCCAAATTTTTCCATCAGTTTCTTTCATAACTCTTTCAATTAACACCTTAGCATACAGTTTACCCACAATACTAAGCAAGCTGATACCGCGGTAGTTTTTGCAGTCCTGCTGTGACCCTTTTCCTTTATATATTGGTACTATAACTGCTTTACACCAGTCATCCGGTACCCGTTTTAATTCCCAACATAAATTAAACAAGGTGTACAGCAGGCCTGCCACCACTCCCTCTCCAGCCCTTAGCATCTCGAGTGATACTCTATCATATCCAGCTGCCTTACCTGCTTTCATGCTTTTCATTGCTTTCATTATTTCATCTACACTTATCTCCATACCCCTTTCCACTTCTTTCGGAATTTCTAGTTCATTTAATTCATACGACTCTTCACTCATAAACACGCTTTCAAAGTATTCCTTCCATCTGTTTAAATTCGAAACTTCATCATTCAGAATACATCCATTCTCGTCTCTTATAGCATTTATTATAGGCTGTTTTGTATTTCCCCTGGCAGTTCTTACGAGTTTCCAGAACATTTTTATGTTAGCCTGGAAATTATCAGATATTCTTCTATCATTCTTATCCGTTCTTTCTTTCTTTTTCCTTTCAACAACTTCTTTTACTCTCTTATTTAGACGTCTAAATTCTGCCTTTTTTCTTTCAATCTCATCATTCATACCAGAAGAATTATCAGCTTTGGTTGCTAGTAAATCTAACCATGCTTTCTTCTTTGATTCAACTTCCACCCGTACCTCATCATCCCACCATAACGTATTACTTTTCCTTTCATTTGTTCTCTTACTTACACCGCATACTTCGGTGGCGGTATCCACCAAACCTTTCTTAATATTATCCCACACAGTATTCAAGTCTAAATCATTCATACACAACTCATTCAAACATCTAATATTTTCTCTCAGTCTACATTTATACTTCTCTATCACATCTTCATCTTGTAACTTCTCTATTCTTATACGCTGTAACGCAGTGGTAGATACAGATGTCCGATGCCGCCAACGCTTGAAAAGACCATTAATTCGACATAAGACCAAGTAATGATCCGTCCCTACGTTGGACCCCCGGTAAACCCTTGTATCTACGACTGCGCTCCTCATTCTTTCATCCACAATTACGAAATCTATCATGCTTCTATCATCTCCTCTTTCCCATGTATACATGTGAATCTTCTTATGACGAAAAAAAAGTATTCGTCACAAAAAGATTCTTTTCCGCACATACGGTGAGGAGGTCTTCACCATTCTCATTTATACTTTCATCACCAAACGTTCCCAATATCCTTTCATAACCAGACCTCTTCACCCCAACCCTTCCATTAAAGTCTCCTAACATAATAATATTTTCATTTTCCTTACATTTTGTCAACACCATCCTTACCATGTCCCAAAACTGCTCTCGGATGTAAGTGGGCTTAGACATGTCTGGGGCGTACACCCCTAGCAGGAACAGTTTCTTTAAGCCCACTTTCATTCGTATCCATAGCAGTCTTGGGCTTACACATCCATACTCTTTCACACATTGACCCATTCTTTCTGAAAGGATGAAACCGACTCCCTGGCATGCCCGTTCGGTCTCGCCTACACCAGACCAATATGCGGTATACGTGCCATGTGCAGTGGCATCCTTTCCCTTTCGTTTCGTCTCATTCACACATAACACATCTATTCCTCTGTCATTCATCATTTCGGATACTTCATCCATCTTATCATTCATTCCTCCACATACATTCAGCGTAGCCAGACGGGTTTCCGCAATCCACTTTTCGCCCCTCCGGGAGACAGAACGTGACGGGTGGCGAACCTCGTCGCCGGTTTTTCTCCCGGAGATTCTTCGCACCCCTGCCCCATTTAAAGGGCGCCGGGAACTCGGGGCCAATTCTTTTATTTCTTGAGTCATGGTGCGAACAAGGGTTGGTGGTAGATTTTACGCCGCTACCATACGGCGAGGAGCCGAGTCTATTTTATCGGCTTTGTCGCTCGTTTAGCACCACCCGGGGGACACGTGTAGGGTGGGCCTAAGGTTAGGTGGTCGAAGCCTACGGACGCGAGCGACTCATCCCCCTACCTACCTAATTAATATATATAAAATAAATCAAATAAGTGATGATGTTGTTTTTGTGCTATTACTGAATACATGTATAATGTATTTACACACTGAATGATTGTTTGCCAATAAAAGAAATCAAATTGAGACAAACATCTTTACGCAAGATCAAAGATTTAAAATATTATTTTATGGGACACTATTTTTTATTTTTATTTTTATTCATATTTTATTTTTATTCATATTTCTGGGACACTATTTTCTACAGCGATTGTTCTCCTTTTCTCTAACCTCCATGAGCAACTAACTGCCTACATATTACGAGTATGTCCCATAGATGGGACAGCAAGCCTAATTATAAAAAGTATTTTTGTTCACAGGCTAATGAATTGTGCGCTACAATCGGCGACAGCGCTGGATGAGCACTCGGTAGCAGCCGCCATGCTGCCGCTGGCCACAGCTTATTGCAGGAAGTTGTGCACAGGCGTTATACAATATGCCTATATGTGCATACAGGTAAGTGTGCCTCTGTCTCTCTAAGAAGATGTTTTAGAATTTAAGAAATCAAAACTGTTTTGTAAGACTGGTTACTACTTAAGTGTAGGGTAAGTAAGTAGTATCTTAGTAGTTTTAACAGTGGTAGAGCCACGCGGCAGCTTTCGCTGTCGCACGGATGGGCCGGCTCGAACCAGGGTGGTACCACCACCTCACAGAATACCAGCGTGAAGTAGAGATTTACCTCTGCGTTTCGCTTAGTAAGTGCAGGTGGCCAGAGGCCCAATTCCCCCTCATCCCCCCCATAACATGGTAGCGGAGTCAATAGAAAAACTACCCCATGATGCTACCAGCACCCCTGGTGAATCCCTCGCTGAGCATCCACGACCAAGTTATCCTACTCTACCTGAGCGTGAGTTCTCAGGCTGCCCCGCGTATTCTGGGGGGGGGGGGATTCCGCTCGCTACTAAAATTGCTCGGGGTAAGCGGAGCAACAATACCAAGGCGACCCCTGCCACGCTTTCCGTGAATTTTGCAACATCAGGGGACTTCATTCAAACCTTAACGCTATCCACTACCATCTGGAGACGGCGAAGCCGGTCTTGTTCTTTTTAGAGGACGTCTATTTCCCATCCTACCCTTGGAGGCGAGTTTGTTTCTCGCCAGACGATCTCCGCGTTGTTGCTGATTCTGTTGCTGATGTGGTACTTCAGGGTATAGAACTTTTTATTCCATCATCTGCCATGGTTTTATTCTCTCCTGTAAAATAGCATCATGCTATAAGCATAAGTGCTACTAAGCCTGGGCTACGCATCAACATCTCGGGATTTAAACACCAGCGCTCTTAAATATAAGTATAATTCCGGCTCCAGAGCCTTCAAAAGAGTCATTGCCAAGGCAAGGTCTGAGCACATCGGCAGAATTGGCGAGAAACTAGTTCGCCTTCCTTCGTGAAGCCGTGCATTCTAGTCATTTCTGTCAGTCATCTCTTCCATCTCTGCACAGAAAGGACGACTCACTGGCCCATGCCGCAAACGAGAAAGCCGATCTGTTAGGCTCTCTCTTTGCGTCCAACTCGACTCTCGATGACGGGGAGAGCACACCGCCGACCATCCCGCGGTGTAAGTGCTCCATACCGTATGTGCGGTTTACACAGCGATCGGTTCGCAAAGCACTCCTCTTACCAGACGTCAGCAAGTCGATTGGGCCTGTTAGAATCCCTCCCATTGTGCTGAACACGTGTGCTTCGGAGTTGGCACCGGTTTTACCGCGTCTTTTCCCTTACTCCTACTCTCAAGGCGTAGTCCCGAATTCATGGAAGACAAATTTGGTTCACCCGATACCTAAAAAGGACGACCGCTCAGACCCGTCCAACTACCGGCCTATCGCCATCACCTCCTTGTTCTCCAAAATACTGGAGTCCATTATAAACTGTCGGCTCATGAGGTACCTTGAGGATCAACAGCTGATTATTGACCGCCAATATGGTGTTCTGGTCTACCTGACTCATAGATGGGTGGTGGCAGTAGAGTCCAAGAGGAGGGCATTGGCCGTTGGTTTGGACATAGCGAAGCCCTTCGATCTGATCTGGAACAAAGCGCTTCATTCGAAGCTCCCTTCCTATGGGCTTCCCGAGAAATTGTGCAATTGGATCACCATCCTTCCATACTTGCTGATCGAAGCATCAAGGTCGTAGTAGACGGTGCATGCTCTGATTACAAGCCTATAAACGCTGGTGTTCCACAAGACTGCGTGTTATTATTATATTACCAACGCTGTTTCTTCTGCATATCTATGATATGTTGCAAACTGGTAACAATCATTACTATGCAAACGACGGCACTGATGATCCCTTATACACCGTACGTGCCAATATTTCTTGGGAAAACGTAGCCGAGTATCTGGACAAACTTGTGTCTGAAGTCGAGTCTATTGCTGAACAAAGTCTCTGATTGGGGGCGACTAAATCTAGTCCAGTTCAATCCCCAGAAAACTCAAGTTTACACGTTTACACCTAAAAAAACCCCTTTGTCATATTTTCTCAGTTTCAAGGCACTCCCCGTGCTGCCTCAGCTAGCATAGGAATCCTCGGCATCGACATATCGAATAGTGTGCAGTTTCGTGGTTACTTGGTGGGGCAGGCGAAATTGGCCTCTAAAAAGCTTGGTGTGCTCAACGGAGCGAGACAGTATTTCATGCCAGCACACCGCCTGCAACTTTACAAAGCGCAGGTTTGGCCTCACATGGAATACTGTTCTCATCCCTGGCCCGGGGCACCCCAGTGCCAGTTCCTTCCACTTGACCGCATACAGCGCAGAGCGATTCGAATCGTCGACGACCATGTTCTTTCTGATCGGCTCGATTCGCTGGTGCTGCGTGGGGATTTTGCACCCGTTTGCATTTTATATTACTTCTACCACGGGGAGTGCTCTGTGGAATTGTTCGGATTAATCCCAGTCGCCAAATTTCATGAACGCAAATAGCGTCAAAATTCAAGATACCATCCTCACCATCTGGATGCTTGGCGGTCCACTACTGTGCGTTTTACTAGGAGTTTTATTCTTCGTACAACTTCGCTGTGAAATTACCACCGGCGATTTTTTCGGACCAATACGACTTAGGGACCTTCAAGAAAAGAGCTTAATCTTTTTTAAAAGGCCGGCAACGCACCTGCAATTCCCCTGGTGTTGCGGTTGTTCATGGGCGGCAGTAGTCACTTTCCATCCGGTGAGCCGCTTGATCGTTTGCCCCCTCTTCTATAATTTTTTTTAAATATAATATTATATTAAGACTTGAAAGTCTATGATAACTGACATTTATATTAATATATGATGTAAAGTAAAGTAAATTTACAGCCTATATACGTCCCACTGCTGGGCACAAGCCTCCCTTCATTTCTGAGAGGTTTTAGAGCAAGGAAGTGTCCGCCGCGCCGCTCCAATGAGTGTTGGCGAACTTCACATGTCTTTGAATTTTTTTTCTCTTTTTCCTTAGACATGCAGGTTTCCTCACGATGTTTCCTTCACCGCCGAGCACGTGGTAAATCAGCACTTAAAATTGTAATTAACAATTTCATTGGTGCCGGCGGGGATCGAATCCGGGTTACGTGTCTAGGAATAAATATATTGTTACGCGTTGAGTGACCACAAATGGTAATTATGATGAGGAATGGATGTATACTTCCATACACTCAACAAGTGTTCAATCACGTCGTCCAAACACGTCGTCCAAAATCGCTGAGCTTCTTTAAAGAGGTTCTTAATGTTCCCATTCTCAATGAGAAGATACTAAAACAACCGCGATTGACATTATGTGTATAGAAGAAAAGGAGTTATGAACTTAAACATAAACTTGCTAAAATTGCTAGCATTAATAAGTTTGAGTATTGTGTATTTCTTGACATTGAACCTTATTCTTTAATAATAAGAATTCAGATGTAATGAGATATATGTCTCGTCTTATTATGTTTAGTTGTGAATTGGACATCTCGTCATAACAATACTGGGTGACTATTTTTACCGTCTGGAAAATAATATGGTGTTTTGTGGACGTGGAATAGAAGCTATTCTTGAAAGTATGTGTAAAATATAACTCATGGACAAAATTTCCGTATATCCAAAACGATACATAAAAACAATTCATCCTACCGAATTTGCATAAAACTAAAAATAACTTTAAACGGCGCGGTGTATGCAGTGTGCTACGAATTTTATGCCTACCGTATACTGCAACATATTAAGCGTTTTTAAAAGATCTAAATCAACTTATTTACAAACTACACAGATTGATATTTACAAAATTATACTTCATTATTGTTGTTTACAAAAAAAATACCTTTTTAGCGATATCGCAGTAATTGTTCAAAATGTTTCCGTTTCTTTCTAAACACAAACTAGCACGTCTCTGTAAGTTGCTTGTTAAACTTTTACTAACACTTTCTGCTTCTTCTGTGTACACTAATCAATTTAACTCGACCCACAAATAAAAGTCTATAGGTCAGGTGACCTCGCCAGCCAGTTCACAGGTCAACCATGATCTTTTCACCTAACACCGAATTAGGTGATCATTCGTAATGAGCTAGACATCCGTCGTGCTGGAAGTACATTCCTTGCAGATTGCTAAGAGGAACGTTTTCCAACATTGTGTTGATGTATCATTTGCAGATATATTACTATCGTCCTTCAATCCATATTGGACCAATAATGTGGTTGTTAATGATTGCCGCCCAAACGTTAACACTGAAACGAACTTGATTAGTATTTTCTTTGATATTGTGTGGGTCTTGGAAATTTCACCAGTACTCATTGTGCACCTTGTAAATTCCAACACGGGTAAATATCGATTCGTCGCACCGTCACAGTTCTCACCAGACAACTCGACATTAGAATATTAGTATATGTTTACAATACACACGCGGAAACATAAACAATACGACGGCGACGCGACGTCACGCCGCAGCTAATCAAATGTCACTTAAATGAGTGGAGAGCGCGGGTTGCTCTGCCCTTGAGCCTGGGACCCTGCTAAAGGACAAAGACAAAAATGCCTACTAAACGTATGATTAGAGTTGCGATAGATTTTAATTGATTTATATATTTAGTTCAAATTTGTTTCTATTTTTTTTTTTTGGTAAGAAAAGTTTATTTCAAATTGGTAGTATATACCTGTTACAACCTATTTTTTCCAGACGCTAAAAGGAATCATCCAATATAATGTCCGTTTAAAAAAAGGAACACGGATGTTACTTGAAAGCAAAATCGAAATAATAAAAGTTTTGGCATAGATTCATTAGATCTTAGATAAGTTTATCTAAAACTCAAAAAATCAAATTGTTTTATGTTTTTGCATTTAGGAGCATCAAGTATGGACAAGTCAGCAATTCTGGGAGGCTGCCTTTTACCAAGATGTACAGAGGGATATTAAGGCTTTGTATTTGCCAAGCCCAACACATCACCAGAGGGTACCAAGCCCGAGGTTAGAAAGGTAAACGCTAAAAGAGTATTCATGACAAAAAGATAATATGAGTTTGGCCAGGAAAAAAACCTAGCAATAAGGTAGCGCGCTTGTTTTGGTTATTACAGTGCAATAAACGGGATAGTCAAGGCATTACGAAGGTTTATATTTTTCTAATCAGCTATATTTTAGTATTCAGTTTTACCAAATAAAACATGCTCATTTGCCACATAATATCCCAAATTTGGCCTTGAATGTGCTTTATCAGTTTCATAATCTAATCCTTTTTAGAGTTCCGTAGTCAACTAGGAACCCTTATAGTTTCGCCATGTCTGTCTGTCCGTCTGTCCGTCCTCGCTTAATCTCTGTGACCGTCAGCACTAGAAAGCTGAAATTTGGTACCAATATGTGTATCAATCACGCCGACAAAGTGGTAAAATAAAAATTGGTAAAAAATGTTTTATTAGGGTAGCCCCCCTGTATGTAAAAAATAATCGATCCAAAAGTAAAAAACAATGTGTCCCCCCCCTCTAACTTTTGAACCATAAGTTTAGAAAATATGAAAAAAATCTGAAAAGTAGAACTTTATAAGGACTTTCTAGGAAAATCATTTTGAACTTGGATGGAAACAACAGTACCCACTACCGGGAGCAGTTGCAGGAGCGCGAACATAGTGGATACCCACCTTTAAACTCATAAGTGGGAACACTTATTGTGACGGACGGGAAACTACGGAACCCTACACTGAGCGTGGCCCGACTGTATGTACTGTATGTATTCATATTAATTGCCGGGTTAACTACGATAACACGACGTAAAAACCTCAGTCTTCCCTGTGAATACGGTACATTATTGTCCGAAATAAACTATTTTTCAAATGTGATAAAATCAATAAAATTAATATTTATGTGTGTTCTATTTCCGTGAGTCAAAGAAATCAATATAAAAATGTTTCTACGAGTAATCTATTTCACAGGGAAGATGAGGAATACATATCATTGTTAAAGGCACAGGAGCCCAGCGCGTTGGAAATAGCTGCCGAGCAGATGCGGTTGTGGCCCACGCTGCCGCCAGGTAAAATTGTAATTCATCCAATTATTTTATAAATTGGTTTTGGCTATCTTTTTATCAGCCCACAACAGTCTAGTGCTGAACTTGATCCTGTCCCATTTTAAAAATTATTTCATGTGTTTTTTACGTTCTATAAAATTATTTTACCTTAAGCAAGAGATATCTATGTTCAGCGGTAGACGTTTTGACGGCGATAAAGAAGAAAAAGGAATTATGAGATGGTATCCGTACCACCGAATATTAGCTTTTTAAACAATATTATTAATATTGGGTTTCAAATACTTATTACGTTTTAATAACTATTCATATCAACTATTGAGCAACAAAGGGAAGAAACTCATTTTAACGGTCAGATTTATTGGGTTAGCCTATCTTCTTCTATCTTCGATCCTACAGTCTTCGGTTATTAAGAGATAACAATTTCGATTTCTTAGAGTACTTATAATCGATTACAGTTTTGTTTAGATTAATGCCAGAATGAAATTAGAACCAGATAACCCAAAACACAAAATTTACCAGCATACTCTAGTATAGTCTAGAACCAACGAAATCTAAGAAGTACATTTTGACGTTTCACATTAATTATTCCGCAATATCTTTGTACTTTACTCACAGATTTAAAATAACCTATTACGTAAATCTAATATTCAGATAATCGAACCTTTACATTTTTTTAATTTATTGTGTTTTATTAAATTTTAATTTTTATAGTTGCATAAATAATGTACATCATAAATTAAACAAGTCTAATATTTTTATAATTTCTGTGAATCCTACTTTATGCACAGTTTCGCTACAGTTACGAGTAAGTTTAGAAGATGCCAGCTTGTAAAATAGTACAGTGGCGAAGCCTCCATAGAAGCCAAATACCCGGGCTTGCCGTATCAAACAGCTCAATCAATAATATAAACTAATAAAATAACTCTTAAAATGTTTCGAACTATTTCAAATTTCCCGCGCGTTCCTCTGTTCTACACAAGTCATGACGTCGTAGACTTATCGATACTGCTGTCTTATAAAAGAAGTTGAATTGAGCGATTAGACGTCTCGCTCGCACGCGTGGGCTTTTAACCGGGCTTTCGAGAAGACGATCGCTCCCTTTCTAACCTGTGGCAAAATGTTTTATAATGAAATTTAACTAGGATTGTGACTCCTACAAAACATGATGTTCAATAAGTATTATACAATAATCGATATTGAATAAAAATCGTTCATTTTATTTCATTTCATTGTATATATAGCAATTAGTGTAGAACGAAAAAGCCAGGCCTTTATGAAGTTCGTTAGTTATTCAAGCGCGGGGGCGCGTGGGTGATACGTTTTCAAGTTCACTTCACGTTTCAATGTTTACTCTGTGTGTTTTGCTTGAGCGAATTAATATTGCGAGTTGAAAATTTATGCTTTTTTAAAGAGTTTTAGTGAAAATGTAGAATAATGGTGTTCCTTGTGATGAATTGAAGTGTGTTAAAGTGCTAATCAGCGACGAAAAGGTCAAATCTTCAAACTTTTAAATAAGTTGTACTGTTGTTGCTGGATATTTTTTTTCCACGACAAAACAGCTTGGAATACTACTGGATATGATGATTTAAATAACTTATCTGGAGCCATTAAAAAGCATATGAATTCTCAAATACACATGAACCTGGTAATTTCGTTTAGTAATTTTGGAAAAAATCGGATTGAAACATCTTTGTCGCGCCAGTTATCCGAAGAAATCGATTTAGAATATAAATAATTTGTTTTTCTTTTTGTACATAGTTTGTTTGTACTTTATTCATGCTCTTCTTTTGTTCATGTATTGTATTGTATATAAATATCTTTTTCTTTCGCTCAAGCAAACCCAAACGGCTTTCTTCAAAGCCACCGATAGTACGCATTTGCTATGTCATACAATCTATCTAGTAGTAGTATGCCTTCTATGTGCTTTGTTAAACGCGTCCTCGACAGCACTGAATATGAAACTAAAGAGTGGAGACAGATCAAGATTGGTGTATTTTTATAAAACTGCTAAAACAACAAAACCATATCTTGGGCTTGCACTAGTTTGGAGCATTAGCTTTGCCACTGCAATGGTAGTACAGATGATTTTTTTATAGAATGGTAGTATAGTAGTCAGTCATTTAAAAGCTTTCAACTGAACTGTGTGCGTTGCTTTTACCTGTCGAAGGCATTTGACCTGGTTTCGTACAACGTTTTATGGGATAAGCTTAACCAGGAAACTAGCACTCGTATAATTATTATTACTACTGTAATTACTGTACCGTAATTAACCTCTTCAAATATTGGTATTACATCCCAAACTAACTGTGTGAAGTGGGCGGGCTCATATTCGTCAGAGTACAGGTTGGAGTGCTCAACTTTTCAACCTATACATCAATGGTCTGGTCGTTGAGCTCAGTAATGCCGGAGTCAGCAGCTAATTTGACGGTCATTTTGTTAATAATAATTATAAACTAATTATAAGCTATGCCGATGACATGGTTTTGCTGAGCCCTTCGATTAGGGCCCTCGAAACGCTAGTGGGCGTCTGTGAAAGGTACGCGGCGGCTCTTAGTCTCAGATATAATTCTAAAAAGGGCGAACTACTCGTTTTTAAGACTGGAAATGGAAAACCTAAGTCTGTGCTTCATATTAGACTTACAGTAGTTACACTGAGTACAGTCACCAAATTCAGATATGGGACACTGGGTCGCCGAGGATCTCTCTGACAATTTAGATGTTGAACGGGAACGTAGAGCGTTGGCAGTGACGTGTAGTATGATTGCCCGCAGACTTGATCGGTGTACAAATGAAGTTAAGATAACATTATTCAAAACTTAATTTTTGTATTCTGTGAATACAAACTAACTCCTAGTTTTTAAGTTTAATTGTACTAACAAAATGAGTGTATTTACCTGAATAATGAAAAAAAAAGGAATTGGCTTCCGATAAAAAATTGACAATCGCAAGATAATTATTTAGAGACATGAATGCAATGAATAACATTTTTACGAGAAATTAAAAATGTAACCAATTGGTACAACTTCATTTATGAAACATGGCTTAACGGTTACCATACTGTTCCGCAGACATGGACAGATGACACGCCCGTGGTAAAAGGTGTGCACCTCATAATTTGTCATGGCCGATCAGCCGCGTAGGTCCAGTAGAAAATAAAACTACTACACAAGGTATGACTGCGCAAAAGTATTGAAGAAAACAAAGGAAATTATTATGAACGACTATGAAAGAGACATTCATTTTGTGTGCATTATAGAAATTAATGTTAACAAGGATGATGACTGAGACAACTCAACTAGTTGTAGTGAAAGTGATTAAATAAATTTGTTTGAAAATCTAGTGCAGTCTTTAATTAAATAATTTTATCTATAGAAATTAGCAGTAAGCAATAAATGTGAAAACATTGATAAATTTTGTGTTTTGAGTTATCTGTTTCTACTTAATTCTAGTGTTAATGTAAAGAATCAATGTCGATATATCTTAATAATCGAATATTGTAGGACCGATTTTTCAGTTGCAAATCCTAGTCCAATAAATATGACAGCTGTCTAAAGGTATTTCTTAATTTGGTGGAGTATAGTGTACCAAACCATATAAATATGATTAAAAGAAATAAAGAAAAAAATTAAATTCTTATTGGATTGTTTATTTTTGATGTATTTTTTAAATCGAATCAAAATCAATGATGAAGAGTTGGTTTTACATGTTTGAGTATAATAAAAACAACTTCATAACACCTTGGCTTAACGCAAAACTTATTTTAAAATCCTATGAGTACGCTTGTACAACGTTGTAAAAACATGAAACGTCAAAAGGTATTTTTTTAGATTTATAACACTATAAATATTCCCTATTTACTCATGATTTTTGTGTGAATAATATAATAGTACTTTTGATCAGAAATTAATTTCTTACGTTATATTCTTTGTACCATCAACAGAGAAACAGCGGGAGCTCATAGCTAGCGAAGAATCGACCCTTTACAGCCAAGCTATTCATTACGCAAATCGAATGGTGTACCTATTATTGCCACTAGAGGGCGCCGGAAGGAGAGCTGACGCTAGAGGCGATGATGCCGACCGAGCTAGCAATAGTATAACAAATAGGTAATTGTTAGTTGTAAATGTATTTTCATATGAGACGTAAAACAGTAACAGTATAAGTCCATGTATCACTCTCTCCTTTATTTTACATTTACAATGTTTGATTGCTTACATTTATTTTTTAACAATATCTATCCTTATAGTGTAGCAGAATCAGATAGTGCCGACGCCGAGTCTGGATTTGAAGAGGCTGATCCCGGCGAAGCAGGAAATAATGTTATCAAAATGGTCTCTAGATTTGTCGACAAGGTAAGAACTTTTGATATATTATCCTTCTTTATATCTTTTGATTATCCTTTCATTTTATCAATCAAGACGAAAAATAATAGTTGTCTCTTTTGAATGTCCGTCGATATCGACAATATTTCAAATTGTTATGTTGAAACTTTAAATCACAACTGAACATACTGTCAAGTTTTAATTTTTGCATCGTAATCTATCCAGGTGTGCACGGAAGGCGGCGTGAGTGCTGAACATGTACGATGTCTACATCAAATGATTCCTGGAGTAGTTCATATGCATTTAGAAACTTTGGACGCTGTAGCCAGAGAAAGCCGACGATTGCCACCAGTGCAGAAGGTAAAAATTTTTTTTATTAAAAGTTTTCTTGAAATAATTTAGCATTGTATTCTGTGAGGCTTAAAAACAATGACAGGATTTTATCAGAGTGCGCGAATTAAGATTAAATTAGATCGTTATTTATTTGTATAAGCGATTAACTTGACATGTAAAATCCGCTAATAAATAGTTTATTCAACACACTTATGGTTTATTAAAAATTTATCCTGTTCATGCTTTATCTGAGAATATATAATAAACAATCTAATATTAAGGAATATGCCCATTTTCGGCCATAGTTGTTCCAATGAACATAAATAAAAAAAAGGTGTTATTTAATAACTAAAATACTGCAAGTACTTAATTGTTTGTAAAACTTCGGTACAGTAATTACGTTATAAAAAGAGTCAATCATATGAGTTACATTGTTTTTTTTTAAATATTGTAGCATTTACTACACGGCCTACAATCAAAAATAATGAGAGCAGATTTATCATTTTAATGTTTATCATATAATGTCAGTCTTTTTAAAATTCATATGACAATTCTTAAATAAAAAGCAATACAAGGAAATAGGTTGATAAACCTTCTAAAATATTTTATTTTAGTATTTTCAATTCTGTTTTGTTCTTTTCTTAAAAAGTTATAGTTTGAGTTTTAATAGTCTGGGTTAGGCTGTATGGGCGTAAATTCCTTTGCCTTTAAATTCACAAAATGAATTTACTTTTTTTATTTGTGTAACCGATCCCATGATGACTCAGGCGCGCATCGTAGCGCCGGCGATGGTGGTGGGCGAGGCGGGCGCGGCGCCGGCTCTTCGAGCCGTGCTGGTGGCAGACGGGCGCGCCTCGCCGCTGCTGCCTGCAGAGGGCGCGCTCTTCCTCACCAACTACCGCCTCGTGTTCAAGGGCACGCCCGTCGACCCGTTTGGTGAGTGTTATAGTGTCGCAGTGTTGCAGTACGGCCGGCCGGTGGCAGACGGGTGCGCCTCGCTGCTGCTGCCCGCAGAGGGCGCGCTCTTCATCGGCAACTACCGACTCATGTTCAAGGGCACTCCCGTCGACCCGGTCGGTGAGTTTTGCAGTGTCGCAGTGTTGCAGTACGGCCGGCCGGTGGCAGACGAGCGAGCCTCGCCGCTGCTGCCCGCAGAGGGCGCGCTCTTCCTCACCAACTACCGGCTCGTGTTCAAGGGCACGCCCGGCGACCCGTTTGGTGAGTGTTGCAGTGCGGCCGGTTGGTGGCAGACGGGCGCGCCTCGCGGCTGCTGCCCGCAGAGGGCGCGGTCTTCCTCACCAACTACCGGCTCGTGTACAAGGGCACGCCCGTCGACCCGTTCGGTGAGTATTGTGGTGTCGCAGTATTAAAGTGTTGCTGTGCGGCTGTCTGATGGTCTGTTGCAAAGCATGAAAACTCTTCAAAAATAAGATAAGTACATGTCAAGAATCTCACTATATCACCTTATTTAAATCGGACTTACATTGCTTTACTGTGGTACTTGTCCATGCTTTGTTCACGATTTCTCACACACGTTTTTGTGTTAAATATGTGTTTTGATCTAAATATCTATGATAATTTTCTTTAAGAGTTCTTTTTATTCGGATTTGTTTTGTTTGCCTTTTTGAGATAAGATTTTATTTAATTTCATGCGATTAAAGTATATATTTATTTAATATTTTAAACGAATGAAATTAAATTTAAAAAATCAACAAATTGCATGAAAATTCTCGATAATGATACACAAAAAACTTTATTCGATCGTCTTTTATTTGTGTCATTTTTTGTCTGATACCCTTAGTGAATAAATGATGTTTTTATTTGTAGCATGCGAGCAGACGGTGGTCCGTTCATTTCCCTTATGCGCGTTAACGAGGGAAAAGGCAGTAAGAGCGCACGGGCCCCAGTTGGAACCACTCTCTGATGGGTTACAGTTGCGAGCCGCTACATTCCAACTAATTAAGGTACCAAGTTTTGAATCAATTAATACTTTATTTATAGTTATATTATATGCCCAGTCTTTAAGTAGAATTTCTAATAACTCATTTGATATTAAGCGTTTTTTTGGGCTTACGTAAAGCGAGCCCTTGTGATGTGCTAAGCTAAGAGCCGCCAACTGTAATGTAACTGCCTTTTCACAGTAATTGAACATGACTGCTATATTAAGAAACAAAACGGAACAAAGTATTTGATGTGTTGGTGCCGGCAGGTGGTGCTGGACGAGGAGGTGAGCAGCGAGCAGGCGGAGGCGTTCCGCAAGCAGGTGGCGCGGCTGCGGCACCCCGCCTCTGCCGTGCTGCACTTCGCACTGGCGCCGCGCCCCGTGCCGCCGCCCGCGCTACACGCCGCCAAGCACCACACGCTCCGGTACGTGCACACCGACACACTTACACTCGCACACACACCCGTGCTGAATCACGCCAAGCACCACACGCTCCGGTACGTGCACACCGACACACGTACACATGCACACACACCCGTGCTGCATCACGCCGAGCACCACACGCTCCGGTACGTGCACACCGACACACGTACACTCGCACACACACCCGTGCTGCATCACGCCGAGCACCACACGCTCCGGTACGTGCACACCGACACACGTACACTCGCACAAACACCCGTGCTGCATCACGCCAAGCACCACACGCTCCGATGCAAGTGCACACCGACACACGTACACTGCACACACACCCGTGCTACGTCACGCCGAGCACCACACTCTCCGATACGAGCACACCGACACACGTACACTCGCACACACACCGTGCTGCATCACGCCGAATACCACACGCTCCGGTACGTGCACACCGATCACACGTACACTCGCACACACACCCGTGTGCTACATCACGCCGAGCACCACACGCTCCGTTACGTGCACACCGACACACGTACACTCGCACACACACACCCACCCTGCTGCATCACGCCAAGCACCACACGCTCCGGTACGGACACACCGACACACGTACACTCGCACACACACCCGTGCTGCATCGTGCCGAGCACCACACGCTCCGTTACGTGCACACCGACACACGTACACTCGCACACACACCCGTGCTACATCACGCCGAGCACCACACGCTCCGGTACGTACACACCGACACACGTACACTCGCACACACATCCGTGCTGCATCGCGCCGAGTACCACACGCTTCGTTACGTGCACACCGACACACGTACACTCGCACACACACCCGTGCTACATCACGCCGAGCACCACACGCTCCGGTACGTGCACACCGACACACGTACACTCGCAAACACACACCCATGCTGCATCACGCCGAGCACCACACGCTCCGTTACGTGCACACCGACACGCGCACACATACACGCGCACACACCCGCGCTGCACGCCGCCAAGCACCACAAGCAAAGACACGTGTGCGCACTGACACACGCACACACACCGCGCATACACCCGCGCCGCACACCCACTCACGCATACGCCCGCTTGCGCTGTTTGTTGCGTCGACTCTATAACCGCAACTATAAAGTCATAACAATCGTTTAGTGTTACATTATTTGTTTCAGAGGGTTTGCGAAAAAAACATTGTTAAAAACCGCACGGCGAGCGGGACTGAAGCCGAAGCCGTCCAAAAGGCAGAAGTACGTGCTGCCGTCCGCCGACGCCCGCTCGCTCACGTCGCCGCCGCTCATGTCCTCGCTGTCTGCCGACACGCTGTCGTGTGAGTGTACGTTATTCTGCTTCTTTGTACATATGTTTAAATTGCATTTGGCTTCATTTTAACATTAATATTATAAATTACTTTATACTTTGCTTGCTTCTGCGTGTTTTAGAAACTCCCCGAAAATGGCTTTTATAAATTCAATTTTACTTAGAACTCGTATAACTGTAACAGTAATTCACTATTATAAATATTATATTTTTCAAAAATGGTATTTAAAAATAGTTAAATAAGTGTTATTAAGGCGACACCGTGAAAAAATGCACCTCCTTTCATCGAATAGTATAGGACTATGACACCACTAACGAAAGTGGGATTTTGATATAGGTAAATTCATGTCTTTATCGTGAATTTGATTGCTCAAAAACACGATTGTATAATTTTGACTCGATCATAATTATTTGCGAAAACACTTCTAAAAAATCACTATAGTGGAAATTACAACGAAATCATTTGATCTATATGCTTGGGAATCACTCAAATATATTCATAACAACAATATTTATAATTTACTTGCTCATTATTTTGATAACTTAAATCAATAATTTTTTTAAAATATTTTAAGATTCTGACAATTTCTAAATGCTTTTAATCGTCGCGGGCGCTACGCAATTTTAGACCTTATGAATGCGTTTTTTTTAAATTTTTATAGAAATTATACATTCAGTCGGATCAGTACGGCGATAGCGTTTTCGATGTGTCGTCTTAACACGCTCTCGTCAATCGCATGAATTGTACAGCAGATTTAGCGGAGTGCGCCGCCCACTGCCCTGCAGGCCCCCCGCAGTTGCTCTGCACAATTACATTCGTTTCCCAACTGTTACTCTCCTTAAACTGTGGTTTTACCATGTTTGTCTCGATAAGTAACTAACTTGTAGGGCCACTTACCAATAACTTCTAACGATACTTTACTGTAAGCGACAAATGTAATATATTAAATGTAATATATTATTAGTGGAGGAGCTGGAGGTGGGTGGCACGGATAGCGCGGAGGCTCCAGCCGCGCGCACGCTGGAGCGAGTGCGCGAGCGAGTGTACGCGCGCGACTGGACGCGCCTCGGCCTCGCCGCACCGCCCTTCCGCCTTGCACACGCCAATGCGCTTTACACGCTCTGCAGGAGGTGAGTTACCCGCTTCAGTCGCTCCATTCGCCCGCCGGAGTGAGTGCGCGAGCGAGTGACGTGCGCGACTGGACGCGACTTGGCCTTGCCGTACCGCCCTTTCGCCTCGCGCACGCCAACGCGCTCTACACTGCAGGAGCTGCCCGCCTCACTCGTTCCACTTGCACGTAGGAGCGAGTATACTCGCTTGAATCGTTGACTAAGTCGTGTACCACGCTAGCGTGATGCGTCTTGCGTATGCGATTAGCGGGGAAAATAACTATAAGAGATGAACAGGAGGTGCCATGTAGGCCCGTCTGGTGTACGCGTCAGCCGACCGTAAACATCGGAGTACGTCTTGCGTATTAATCAAATATGGAGGCGTTTATTAGCGAAATGATATCTCGGTCTGCAGTACGGTCCAATAAGCATGAAAATTATAAGCATAATATTATATTTCTCAAAACTTTTGTGGGTATTGATATATTTCATCATACAATCTACGATATTCACCAAACTGATGCCTATTTTATATCTTGTACAAGGTGGTAAAAAATAGCAGGATGAAACTAAAAGTCATGCAGCCGCCTCAACGTGGCATACTACAGCGGCAAGGCGCAGCGTATTCACTCCTCCCGTCTCCGCAGGTCGCCTCCGCTCCCCGCAGTCCCTCTAGCTTGGCCAATGTCGTAGTGATCACAACAATATTGTAAATCTACTATAATTATTTGCCGGCGACAGTCCTCTGGTGTTAAATTAATATTTACTTATATAGCGTATCCTTTTTATGTGTGCAGTTACCCGGCGGTGGTGGCGGTGCCCGCAGCCGTGGGTGACGAGTCGCTGCGGCGCGTGGCGCGCTGCTACCGGCAGGGCCGCCTGCCCGTGCTCACCTGGCGACATGCGCGCACGCACGCCACACTCGCGAGGTGAGGCGCTGCACGCGCGCACGCACACGCACACGCATACCTAGGTGTGGTGGCCGGAACGTTTCGAGACCCAAATGTTACAAATATGTCTTTCGATTCGTTAATTTCAATTGGTTGATACTGGCAACAGTACTAATTCTACGAGGCCATAATAAGAGAGTTTTTTTTAGAATTAGGGTGACAAAAGAGGACACGCTCCACCTGATGGTAAGTGTATACTGTGGCCCATGGACATCTATATCTATCCTCGATTAAGAATTAAAATGCAATGAAGCGTTACCACCCCTGATGACTAAGATAGAATGCTTCGTGTTACTGCCCCATGCTACCCTGACAATAGCCGATCGGGACTCGGCCCATCAGGAATCCTACTCGACGGGTAACAAAGGGAGGCTTCGAAGACTAAGCTATAGTGGAATATTAAGCTATAGCGGTTAACAAAGAACCAAACAAAACTTACCGTTCGTCGACGTAGGGTTAACCATAGGAAGAGTCAGGCGGAATAGTGAAGTGTGTGTGAGTCGTGTTCAGTACGTGTTCAATTGTAACCTGACATCCCCGCTGGTTGCAGAACAGCAGATCCAAAGGCGTCGCCTCTCTTCAAATATGTGATCCATCTAAGGGGCATGCAGCCATAGAACACTTCCGTTTCTAGGAAAACTATGTTCGTTTATCACTTATTATTTATTGTCCAATTAATTATCTTTAAATTAATCCAATCAAGTCCAACAACGTTTAACCGAGACACGCGGTACAACTCAAGGACGGCTGGTCAAAGTTCAATGTCACAGGCCAACGTAGCACAAACTACCACCGCGTCGATTCAATTAACTGCATAAAAGGTCCTTTAATCACTACAAATTCCTATCGATCAAAATAGACACTAAATTCGAGGCGGTCTAGGTTATATTCTAATATTCAATAATATATTCAAATGGCGCGCTCCATTAACACAGTTCTCGACGCCGGCGAACGCAGCGTCTCGGCGCGTGCGCCGCGCGCGGCCATCGAACTCCTCACAGCTCGGTTCGATGTGAACAGGGTTGAATCACTGCATCTACGATGCAGCTAGCCTACGCCTCCCGCGCCTCGCTAACCGTCCCTTCACCTCGCTCGAGATAAGACAATCGGCTATCGAGCGCGAACACCTCGTTTCCAATAAAAAGGATATGCAGTTCTCTAACTCACCATACGAACACAGCAGCATTGAGCTGCAATTTTACTTTGGTGTTCTGTGAGAGCGTGGTTCTTGCCCGGTCGAGCCGGCAGTGACAGCCTTAATAATGGTGTTACATATTTTTTAGGTCTGGTGCGTCACACCATAAAGGTGTAATGGGAATGCTTAAAGGATCCAGTCATCAAACACCTAGTGCTACACAGAGTGGTACAGAACCTACCTCAAGTTTGGAACAGGTAATATATTATAGCTAATAACTTATCTGTAAGGTTTATACAGATAAAATCATTTCGTTCTGGGGATTTAGATGTTTCTAATTTATATATAGATAAAATTATTTCGAAAATGTTTAAGTCTGTCATTGTTTTAAGGTTTATCTGTTTTGGTTGTTTTACACTTTATTTTGAAACCGTGTAGTGACGGTGAAAGTACATCCAATACGTCATATCATCCCATGGGTGTCGTAAGAGGCGACAGAAAGGGACAGGAAGTACAAAATGTGAAGCGGTATTTTCCTGATAACTTTAAATAAAATATAAAAAACTGCGTGCTACTATGTAAAATATCGTAGATGGCAACCGAACCTCTACCGGAGATTCTTAGCACCCCCTGCCCCGCCACTGTGGTTGCCACCGTAGCTAGGAATAGCGGGGCCGACGGGGACTGGGGGCAGTTTGTTTGCGTCGTTACTCATGGGGGGATATTTGCCATAGTTGCCACGCTTGGCGAGCGGGTTGGCAACCGCAGTTTTTTATTATATCATTGCTGTTATCAGGAAGATGCTGCTGCTCATCTCCTGCCTGTCTCCCTCTGTCGCCTCTTACGACACCCACGGGAAGATATGGGGTAGTGGATATTCTCAACCGCCACTACACTGCTATTTCACTATTCCGATGATATCCCGGACGTCAGTCTGAGCGAGATTAGAATGGCTCTCCAGCACCTCAAAAACGGCAAGTCCCCGGGCGAGGATGGAATTAAAGCGGAGCTTCTGAAAGCTGGTGGAAAACCGGTACTTGAAGTCCTTCAGAGGCTCTTTAATCCCGTCCTCCATGGTGGCACTACTCCGGAGCAGAAGTGCGGTGGTCTTGTTTTTCAAGAAAGGTGACAACGCCCTCTTGAAGAACTACAGACCGATATCCCTTCTGAGCCGCGTCTACGTGCTGTTTTCGAGAGTCATTACGAATCGTCTCGCACGCAGACTCGACGACTTCCAGCCTCCCGAACAAGCTGGTTTCTGAAAAAGCTTTAGTACCATAGACCACATACATACACTTCAGCAAATTGTACGGAAGTCTGAAGAGTAAAATCTGCAACTTTGCCTGGCGTATGTGGAATATGAGAAAGCCTTTGATTCCGTCGAAATTTGGGCGCTGCGGTCTTTTCATCGGTGCTAAGTTGACTGTCGGTATATCGAAGTGCTGAAGTGTTTGTACAGTAGGGCTACGATGGCTATCCGAGTACAGAACCAGAGTACGAAACCTATCCAACTGCAGAGAGGTGTAAGACAGGGTGACGTTATTTCCCCGAAACTCTTCACCGCTGGAAAGGATACGGTATTAACATCAATGGCGAGTACAACACTCACCTTCGATTTGTCGACGATATAGTCCTTATGGCAGAATCGCTGGAGGACTTAAGCACTATGCTCAATGACCTCAATAGTGCCTCCTAACGGATAGGTCTTCAGATGAACATGGACAAAACAAAGATCATGTTTAATGTCCATGTCACACCTATGCCGGTCGTTGTTGGGAGCACTAAGCTCGAAGTTGTTGACGAGTACGTACCTGGGACAAATAGTCGGGCTAGGTAAGTCCAACTTCGACCGAGAGGTCAATCGACGGATTCAACTCGGCTGGGCAGTGTTCGGGAAATTACGACACATCTTCTCATCAGGTATACCTCAAAACCTGAACACTAAGTTGTACAACCAGTGCGTGTTGCCAGTGATGACATATGGAACTGAGACGTGGTCCTTCACCGCTGGCCGTATGAGGACGCTCAAAGTCACTCAGCGTGCTATGGAGAGGGCTATGTTCGGAGTTTCTCTGCGTGATAAACTTAGAAATGAGGATACCCGCAGTAGAACCAGAGTGACCGACATGCTTAGCGCGACATAGCCCAACGGATTAGTAAGCTGAAGTGGCAATGGGCTATAGCTTGAAGAACAGACAACCGTTGGGGGAGAAGGGTTCTCGAGTGGCAGCTTCGTACCGGTAGGCGTAGTGTAGGGCGACCCCCCACTCCATCTAGTGACGACCTGGTAAGACACGCAGGAAGTCGATGGATGCAGGTGGCTCAGGACCGCGCTTAGTGGCATACCTTGGGGGAGGCCTATGTTCAGCAGTGGGCTTGTGAAGGGCTGTAATGATGATGGTGATGACTATGTAAAATATCAGTTGTCAAAAGGCTAACTATGATGAGACCTATGTTCAGCAAGAGACTTGATAGGTTTTGATGATGTTGGTAGACTTTATTATATTTTTGAATCTGGTTATTTTATCTTTTCTTTATGATTTTGTTTAACCTTAATCCACTGGTGTTTTCTTTAATCAATAATAATTAATCTTAGATTTTTTCAATGTGTAATTCATGCTTATGACTACCTCTACGATACCAAGGAATTATTTAGTGTAGAGGAAATTGGTAACTAATTCGGAAAAGCGGAGTAGCACTGGCTGATAAGGATGTGTACGCAGGAGCGGTATCTGGCGGCACTGGTGGCGTGCACGCCGGCGCGCGGCGAGCTGGACGACGCGTCGCTCAGTCTGGAGTCGCTGCTGTTGCCCGACGAGCACGCGCACACGCCGCTGCTCAGCAAGGCGGCCGGCACCCCGGTACCCCTCCTTCCTTGTAACTCCCCAATACAAGCGGCCGGCACCCTCGGGTGAGTGCACCCCCTGCACCTGCTGCACTTGTAACACCTGCACTGTGCCCAACGAGCACGCGCACACGCCCACAAGCGCGGCCCCTCATGAGTGCACCCGCAGTACCTGCACTGTGCCCGACGAGCACGCGCACACGCCGCTGCTCAGCAAGGCGGCCGGCACCCTCGAGTGAGTGTACCCGCAGCACCCGCTGCACCTGGAGCACCTGCACTGTGCCCGAGGGAACACGCGTGCCCGACGAGCATGCGTGTTCGCTGTTTACTAGCAAAATAAATTCTAGTCTCTGTAATATGTCTACAAACGCGTAATCGTAAATGCGGTATACTGTCGGCAGGGTGCTGGGGCGTAACAGCGGGGGCAAGGGTGGCGTGGCGGCGGCGGGCACTTGCAGCGCGACTGGTGCGGCGGGGGCGGGGAGCGGTGCGGGGGCGGCGGGAGGTGCGGGAGCGGGTGCGCGTCACTTCGGGCGCTGGGGCTCGCTGAAGGACCGGCGCCAGCCCTCGCACCTTGAGCTCTACGTGCCGCGCCAGCGCACCTCCACCGCAGACCTCGACTCCGGTCAGCACTCCTGTGTTTTTTTTAATAGGATAAGAATGACAAACGATCACACAGTCCACCGAATGGCAAGTGAATGCTGTGGCCTATAGACATCCACATTTAACCTCGATTAACAATCAAAACGCAGATCCGCTGTCATCCCCGAGGACCAAGATGGAATGCCAATTCCAGTAAAACGGTTCTCCGGCTCTTTACACTCACAATACGAAATACAGCAGCATTAAGGTGATATTTTACACTGATATTGTGTAAAAGCTTTGGTCCATCCCCCCCGGTCGAGTTGGTCCATTCATGCTACAACCATAACAGCTGCAGCATGGCTCTACCACGTATAAACTGTGTTCTTATTTATATAATTGGAAAGAACCCAAAGATCTCTGCCGAAGGTTATACATTACCTACACTATCGATTCTCAACTAATACATTATACACTTATAATGACTTGTTGACAGTAAGACAACTATACATTCTCAATTGCATATTTAAGCTACATAAATATTACCGTATGATCCTGTATGAATGAATGAATGAATATACTTTATTGCACACCACAAACAAATTTACAAAGAACACTTACAAAATTTACAAATTGACGTAAGAGGAGGAAAGACAGTCGTTGCCACCACTACGGTGAAAACAGTTTTTGCAGCTAAACAATATCAAAATACGTCTGTTAAGCTTTATAATAATATAATAAAAATATATCACTTAAACTATTATGACTGCAAAAAACTATCACAATATGGTTAAAATGCGTGTGGTGTGTGCGCGTGCGTACGCACACGCGCACGCACACACACACGTACTAACCAAATAAAAAAAATTATATTAGTAATCTTATGTAGACTGATGTTATAAGTAAGTAATCACAAATGTTACACTTTGTATTTGTAACTAATACTTACCTTGTAGTCATATAATATGGAAGAGCGATAACTTCCTCATACAGGTATTTATATATTTAAAGGGAATGTTATAAAAATGTGATGGTAAAATTGATATGTTACAGAAATAAAGCATTTAGATACGAAAAAAAAAAGCAATCCAATGGAAATTATTCAATGTACTATTCTAGCAATGTACATTCTGTTATTTTAAAAACGAAAAAAAAACAAAAGCTTCTTAAAATATACTATTAGTTTCATAATATGTCTCTAAATACAGACGAAATAATGAAAGAAGTTTTGTGCGCGTCCTCTATTTTCTAAAATGGTGAAAAGACCCGTACACAAACAGTTGATAAGAATATACTTGAGGCCAGCCGAACTTTTCGATCATTTATATGTTGGGTTTTTTATTAATCACCTATTATTGCCATACACAAGTTTTTTTTTGTTTTATGAAACTAAGCTGACAAACACTTAAAAAAGCCACTTAAATTATATTCCATGGATATCCGCAGCCAACTTCAAATAAAGAAGGCTGCGACAGATGCGTCGTCACCTCTAAGGACTGAAATGGAATGCCTTACAGCTTATAATAATTATTATGTCTCTCTATATATAGCCTTCAAATCGAAAAAGAAAGTGAAGTGCTATTGAATAATAGAATATTACCACTTAAAAGTTTGTTTTTTATGTTATAATATTATATAAAATTTGGAATTGCTAATTTAATGTATTTAACTGTCTTGTAGTTGAATTTGGCAATTTTACTTCAAAGGAATATAAGATTACGCTAAAATGTTTCATTTGTGATATTGTTACTTTAGAAAACAAACTTTCCAAGAGTTAGCTAGTAAAGTTCAAGTTACGTTACTTGGCGACACTGTCGTTAGTAAAATTATTGTGTACCATGATGTCGCCACCACAACGCCTCGTATTCATCATTTAGCAGATAAAGTGTTTAAATGTGAAGTCTAGTCGTGGAGCAAGATTAATTTCGTACAATAACCTCTTTGCCTACTGACAGTGGTCCCAAACATTTTTGTAATAAGAGTATGGTTTATATGAAATATTTGAAGGAGAATAAATAAATTTACTTACTTAAATAAATTATTGTTATTATGTAAATTATTTATTTTGATTTTAGTATAAAAACAGTTATAAAAATCGAGTTAAAATTAAGTTCGTGATAAATTACTAATTTGGCAGAAATAAAAAAATCAAGATTCAAAAATCAAAATCCGATTTCTCTGTATCGGAATTACTGCTTTCCGACGATGTCTCGCCTGTCACATTTATTACAAAAGAATTAACAGTTTTGTCTACATTATCATCTAGTCTATCTAATTTCGATCCCTCTTTTTTACATGACTGATGAAATTTTACTATTTTTCTGTTGAAATGTTTCCTAAAGCCTCCTGGAGAAGCTTTTTAACATATTCCATGTGGTATTTTTAGTTGTGTGTCAAGGTCAACTAAAAACCACATGCAAACAAGAACAAACCTTACAGTCTCAGATAAAATATTTACTATCCCTGATGACGACGGTCACTGCATCTGTGCGAGCGAGACACATTATATTAACGCGGGAGTGACAGAGACAGGTAATAAAAGGTTAACGTACGAAATTCTTCCTACTTCGCGTCCGGACTATCGTGCAATAAATTTATACTATCAATTTATAAGATCATTTTTCCCGTGTCAGTGTGCGGCGATGGCAGCGGCGGCAGCGGCGGTGGGGGCGGTAGCGGGCGGCGCGCCTCGCTGTACGTGGTGACGGACAAGGGCGCGGCGGGCGCCAGCGCGAGCGGCGGGGGCGGGGGCGAGCTGCAGGCTGTGCCTGTGGAGTACCCGGACGCGCGCGCCACCAAGCACGCCTTCAAGAAGCTGCTGCGCGCAGCCGCGCCCTCCTCGCCGCCTGCACCCGACCACCCCGGCTTCCTACGGTGAGGCGCTCCCCTCCACCCACATAGCACACCAATCTACCGATATTACACATCTCTCCACCCACATGTCACAACTCACCACCAATATTACGCAACTCACCACCGATATTACAGAATCCTCCATTCATATTACACACCACTCCACCTATAATACACTGGCCTCCACCTACATTACATACCAAACCACCGTCATATACGTCCCCCCACGCACATTACACAACGCACCACCGTTACTACACACCCCTCCACCCACATCACACACCACTTAATCGATATTACTAGAGGTGGGCTGAATATTCGTTTTATATTCAGGATTCGGCATATTCGGCAGGTTTACCGAATATTCGTATTCGGCCGAATATTCGGCTAAATCACCGAACATTCGGTAAAGTGGTACTCAAAGTATTCACTATATGGAAATGTACGAATTGAGTAATGCCATGTCTTTCATAATTTTGCTGTTGAAAGTATATTTATTAATGGCTTAAATCTACTTATATAGCGTTATGTTTTTGAGGCACTGTAGATTTATTTCCATTTATTGCGAAAAGAAAGCTTGATAAAATTTTGTTTAGAATCAAGCAAAGGAATATTACATTACAGTCGTCAGTTTCTCTAAAATTGGTCCAAATAGTAGATCTCCTGCCACTCATTTTCATCATATACTTATCAATTTTCACTAAGAATACCACAACGAAATACTTGTTTTCTCACAAAAATAGTTAAACAAGCATGTGCCGGCGATTTGCTCAGTACTAGATGATGCAATAACATGTCAGGTGTGGTGGGGGAGCGAGGGGCAGGGTCCGGCGCTAATCCCGCGCGCTTTATGGTAACAAGTTTCGACATAAATTGGTTAGGTACCGAGGTAATCCTGCCGAATAATGTTCGACCGAATATTCGGTTCGGTAAAAATTTTACCGAAAGTGCGGCCGAATATTCGTATTCGGTGAAATCCATATTCGGCCCATCCCTAGATATTACACATCCCTCCACCCACATCACACACTACGCCACGGATATTACACAGCACACACTCACATTACGCACCTTCTCCCATTTAAATATATGTGAAGATACTTAAGCCCTCCATCACGATCATTTCATATTCCACCTGATATTCTTTTTAATTTACCAAGTGTTGTGGAGACTGACTATGAAAGTGAGGGAATAGAGAATGCACCTATGCTTACATACTGAATTTTTATTACAAAAAGAAAAAACTGCGACTCAAGCCGAAAAATTAGTGACGTTTGTAAACCTGTCAAACCTTAAAGTGTCACTAAAAGTAGCACAAAGTTGATTCAAGCGTTTTCAATCCGGGAATTATGATGTCAAAGATGCAGCTTGCTTTGGTCGCCCTCATACGAATAAAGTCGATGCCATTTTTAAAAAAGTGGAGCAAAATCGGCATATATAGTAGTTACGACATAGCCGAGGAATTGAGGATTGACCACAAAACAGTTTTGACCCACTGGAAAAATTCTCGCTGTACAAAAAAGCTCGATATTTGGATGTCACACGAGCTCACTGAAAGAAACCTAATTGAATCGTGTACTCATTTGCGATTCTCTGTTGAAACGTAATGAAGCCGAACCATATTTGAAAAGATTGATCACTGGTGATGAAATGTAGATCACCTACGACAAGAACGTGCGAAAAAGATTATGGTCAACGGGTATTCAAGCTTCACAGACTGTATAGAAACCCGGATTAACACGCAATAAGGTGATGCTGTGTGTATGCTGGGATTGTGGAAGGCCATCGTTTATTATGAGCTTTTACCGCCGGCCAAAACTATCGATTCGGATCTGTACTGCCAACAATTAATGAGACTACGAGGGCGGCACTGAAAATTTCGGGAATCAAGGAAGTGACACAACATTACTATTTAAAAATGTATTTATTGCTTTTCGAAGTATTCTCGGCGAAATTTGACACATTTTTCCATACGATGGAACCAATCATTGAAGCAACCATTCCATTCGGAAGTTGGGGTCTCCAAAATGGCCGTTTTGTAGGCGTCCACAGCTTCTTCAGGTGATGAAAATCTCTGTCCACGCAATTTATTCTTTATTTTAGAGAAAGTATAGAAATCATTAGGGCTTAGGTCGGGGCTGTACGGCGGATGGTCTAATAATTCTAATATTTTCTTGCTCTAAAAACTCTTTTGTTCTGTGTGCGGTGTGAGAACTCGCATTGGCGTGATGGAGGATGATGCGGTGGTTGCAGTTCTCTTTACGGAGTTCAGAAACGACCTGTGGCAAACAAATGCTAGCATACCATTCTGCATTAACCGTTCTTTGTCCCTCAAGAGGAATAGTCTTAACATGGCCGGTTTTAGAGACAAACATGGTCACCATTTTTTTGCAACACTCCGTGAACGAACAATTTTTGTTGGCTTTAACTCATTTTCGAACACCCAAACTCGTGACTGGTTTTTTGTTTCGGGTTCGTACGCGTAATACCAGGATTCGTCACCTGATACGATGTTGTATACAGCATTTGAGGATCCTGCGTGGAATCTTTCGAGAGATCTGACGCACCAAGTAACGCGAGCCGCTTTTTGCTCTTCACAGAGAAAATGCGGTATCCATCGGGAAAACAACTTTTTTTACACCTAATTGTTCATGCAAGATTATTTGTATTTAACTCATGCCAATGTCTAAAGTTGCCTGAATTTCGCGTATGTCACATGTCGATCTTCCTCAATCAGCTTACGCACAGCATCAACGTTTTTTTGATTGACTGCTGTTTTTGGACGACCTTGACGGGGATCCTCACCGAGCTTGACACGTCCACGTTGAAATTCCGCAAACCAGCGATAAATTGTGGTTTTGGATGGGGCTTCATCACCAAATGCAGAAATCATCTGGTCAACACACTGTTTTTGTGTTAAACCACTTCGAAATTCATAATAAAATCATCGCACTTGAATTTTCTCAGTCAATTCCATTTTCTCAACGACTAAACAAGTTTGACAAAACCTTGTGACAAGACCGAGAATCTTTTTTTTAAATAAATAAATGGTATTCGATTTTTAAAACCAAGGAGTTTTCAATTAAAAAGATCTTAATATGACAGGAATAGTGGAAATATTTCGTTCCTGATACTTTTAGTGCAGTATCATAAAATTGAGAGAGTTTGTTCGGGAAGTGTTAATGTATCCACCATATAGTCCTGACCTTGCACCCTCAGATTTCCATCTGTTTCAGTCTCTTCAGAATCTTTAACGTCAAGAGAGGACTGTCAAAACTACTTGTCGCGTTTTTTTAATCCAAAATCCATGAGTTCTACGGCAATGGCATTATGACGTTACTCATTACCTACAAAATGGCTACGTTATCGAACAAAAGGTTACATATTATATTTAAATGTAAATACACTTTAAAAAAAATGTCTTTAATGTGTATATAAAATACGAAGAAACTTTTTCCACGACCTTATACATATCTCCTTATTCCCTTCTTAGTATTGTTTGAAAACCGTGTAAAAAGTAATACATGCTTCATTATATAAAGGTTTTGATATAATTTTAGATTAAAATAATTAGACTTTGAAATTCGTTCATACCACTATGCTGTGTGCGCAACATGTAAGCCTGCTGCACCTTTTTGAATGGGTTTCCCACTGGGCATATTATTTCTTTCACCACATACATCATATACTTTAGCTAAACATTACAAAATACAGTCATCAACTTGCAATATTTAAGTAATCAAAATTGGAAACATGAACATCATTTTAAACCTTATTTCATTTCAGTCTAGTTGAAGAATCCGGTTGGCTGTGGCAATTACGGCAGTTATTCCAACTGTCCGGGGCGGTGGTGGACTTGTTAGACCTGCAAGGTTCCTCTGTGCTGCTCTCGCTTGAGGACGGATGGGACGTCACCGCACAGGTACATTTTCAATAAATGAAAAATTTTGTAAATATACATACAAATTCATGCATTGCTGTCGTTCATATGCATAAATCCTCTCATAGTCAAATCGAGTGGTCTAAAATGTAGTATTTTACTAATATTTATTATATTGCATTATCTTAATCTATTATATAAAAGTGGATGTTGGTATATTTGGAATTCGACACCATTTAACCGATTGCCGTGTAAGTTGGCACATATACGTATTTTTTATGGATAAGGTTTTTATGCCATCCATTTTGTTGTACCACTAGATGGTGATGTAGCACTACAACGTTTAGCCGGTCGCCATACAAAATAACATACACATAACTCAGCATGGATAAATTCTGCCGGGATTTGTTAATATTATGTAAAACAAAGAATTAGTATTTTTTAGTAAACTTGTTATATAAACTGTCTGATGTTTTTATGATCATGTACTAATGGTTTCGTGAATATGATTTCAGATATCATCTCTAGCACAAATCTGTCTGGATCCGTACTACCGCACAATAGACGGCTTCCGAATTCTAGTAGAAAAGGAATGGTTGGCCCTCGGCCACAAGTTCCAACAGCGGTCTAACCTGGCCGCCACGCCGCAGCACGGCTTCACGCCGACTTTCCTGATGTTCCTTGACGCCGTGCATCAAGTAATTATATTTTTCGAAACTATAGGACTTAAATCAATTAAGTTTGACTGAAAAAAAGATGTTCTCAAATAAGTTGGATAAAGCAGATAGCTTTATCTTTAAAAAATGGTGGTGATATTAAGAACATAGCTCCGAAACGCCTGGCAGATCTATCTGGTTTCATTCGATGAATGGCGGAATAATTAAACCATTATGATATTATATTCGATGTGAGATACTGAGACTGGTGACGGGGAGTAGTGAAAAAGGTGCTAGGCATTAGGTCCTGCGATCCACAATTCGTCTATCCAGTGTAGCGCTTAGCAAATTCTCCTTTCTACGCTAATGCCTGGGCCACACACATCGCGATAGAATTATTGCGATAAAACTTCGCCTTCAGCCTACGGCGAAGGTGCCCTCACTGCGAATTTTGACTACGAATATTTGACTACATACATCGCAATAACGCGAATATTCGCTTTAGGGTGAAACACATGATTTGCTCTCGGCCATATTCCCGCGAGATGGCGCTGAAATCATCATTTTTTAGTTTAGTAGAGGTAAGGAGAACCGTCTCACATGGGAGAATAGTTGAAAATGTGCTCCATCTGTAAGCAGTAAATAACAGTACAAAAACTCTCCACAACAGCGCTAGAGTAGCCAGAGGGTATGAAATGAACTTAGCAGTTGTCGATGGAGTGAAGTGTGCTGAGTTGAGGAATTTGATATTTGTGGTGACTATACTCTATTCCCAATACGAAGTCCCTTTTTACACACACTTCTTAGAACGTAACTCTTCACGTTTCGCACAATTTGAAATAATAATCATTTTTTGTTCATGGTCGTAAATCATCATTTAAAAATACACAATCAATCTAAATCATTATACAATTAATTCACATACACAATCAACATATTGTTTTTAGACATCGTGCTCAAAATAATTAAAACTTTAAAAGATAATAATATTTTACTGCCGTTTTGCGTTTACGTTCTATAGTTTTATTTTAACTTTTTTACATAGTGACGTGACTAAAAGAATCGTATAAAATCGATTATAGACAGATTCTTTTCGCGAGTGAAAATCTGTCAACACTGTGTCCACCTCGTGATCACGACCACCATTTTGTTTGTCTTTTCAGTACGAGTGCAGGAGCCTTGTATACGATACGCGTGTTCAGTTTAGTTGATTTGTTGTGTTTTTATTTTGTTCTTGTTATTGTAGTTATAACTGTTTGATAATTCTTTCGTTGTTATTAAGTTTTGACTGTTATTTGATTTGTTTTTTTTTTGTGTTTACACTATGGCCGAAACTGAGACCACTAAAAGAACAGTGATGCGCAGTCAAGCGCGAGAGTTTGTAGTACGCCTACAAGATTACTTTGAAAGAGAGTATCAGAATGGTGGTCCATTGTTGCCACTTTCACAAGTGACTAACCGAGTAAGTGCAGCTCTTGGTATTAGTCGAAAAACTGTTTCCCGAATAAGTAAGGAAAAACATGGTAAAACGTGGAATACCACGAAGAGATGAATTTTGTTAAATTTAAGGAATGGTTTTGTACCTTATTGACCAACTTGAATGAGCCATCGACGATCATTATGGATAATACACCGTATCATTCAGTACAAATAAGTAAGCCTCCAACTTCTAGCAGCAAAAAAAGCCGATATTGTGAAATGGCTGAATGACAATAATATTGTTGGCGACATGTCCATGTTAAAAGTTGAGCTGCTGCATTTGGTTGCTATAAATAAGCCAGCTAGACCAAAATACGTATTGGACGAAATGGCTAAGGAAGCCGGACACAATGTAATACGCCTTCCACCCTACCATTGTCAATTCATCAATTACAATGCCATAGAATTGATTTGGGCGCAAATTAAAGGCAAGAATTTAAACAAATCTTTTTTATAATTTATTTTTACCTATTTTAACATTTTATATGTTGCTATATTAACACGCAAACCTTTATTTTAGGTTATGCGGCTCGTAAAAATACCAGCCCACCGTTTACTGGGAACAAAATGCTGTCATTGTTGCAAGAAGCTTGTGATAGTGTTACTGCCGCGAATTGGGAAAGTGTGGTTTTACGAACAAAAAAAACATTTCAAACATACATATCGAAGCTGTCATAGATAACCAAATTATAATAAATACAGGGGATTCTACAGACGATGGTGAGGGTGATGACGACGATGCCGACCATGAAATATCGATTTCGACTAGTGATGATGAATATGTTCCATCTTGATAAAAATATCATGTAATATTATCTAATTAAAATTAAAAAAAAAACAGTTTTATAAATTTTAATTTGATGCTAATCCTTTTTCTGTCAATACGATTTTAATTTGTTCGTTATAGTAATCGAAGATCAATATCGTCAAGTATCGACTATAACGGTACTTTACTAGTACTTGATTATTGACATCTGTCAAGTGGGACTTCGTAATTGGAATTGAGTATAGAGTAGTTGATGTTGATTATTTTAAAACCGATACTACTCACGTTGTTTAAAATAATTTAGTAATTATAACCTAGAAAAAGTCGCCGTGAAACACGTTGAAGACTGATTTTGAAAATTAAAATTTTGAAAACAATATAATAACAATTGTACAAAAAAATTATGGTGAAAGTTTCTGCAATAAAAAGTTATAATAAGTGCTTTGAAATGTACCCTCTAGCTACAGTGGCGCCAACCTTATTTAACGCTATCCTACGGACACTTTTTAATACATAGATGGTTCTCCTTACCTCTTCACTTCATAAAGGCAACATTGGATAATACCTACCTACGGATACTGTTATTTATGTTGCCACACAACAATAATATGAAATAAAAGTGTTTACATTGCCGTCAAAGATCGTCAGTTTACGTCATTTTATTGTTTTTTTTTTTTTTTAATTATTGATAGGAAAGAAAATAAATCAATTTTGTATATAAGATATTGATTTATAAGAATTACAATATCGACTGCACGCCATCTTGCGTGCCAATTTCTAAACTATGCTTTTGACGCTTTTGCTTGACAAAGTTGTCAAGTTGGCAAGTCACTCATACTACTAAAAGAAGTGTCAACATTTTCCTAGATTTCACTATTGTTTCACTTGTTCTAAACTGAAAGTTCTTTCCTATAAAGGTCAACCGCGTGCATATTTCAGTGTAGAAAAATGATAAAATGATTTGTTTTAAACAAATAATGTCTGTGTTTAGCGTAAAGTTCGAAACAAAAATGTACGGGCTATCTATCGGAGCATTACCTTAATGCAATGTGTGAGCTCGTTTGTCACTTAAAGTTATAAAAGAATTGTTTTTCTTTTATATTTAGGAACAACGTTACCTTTACCAATATTTTAAAACGGGTACCTTAATCGGTACCGATCTATAAATTGGACCTTTTTTGGAACCTTAATGAAGAATTATTGAAGTTGGAATAAATTTGTAATTTATTTGAAACGTTTTTGCTTATCATCAAGAAATAAAGTATCTAAATAAATGTAGCCGACAAAGAATCTAATTTAATAACCTGCCGTTCATATTATCGGAAAATATTACATTATCCCGATTTATATAAACTATTTTAAAAATCCATTCGATAAAGAATTTAATTGCGCATTTTTATTAGCATATACTGTTTCAATAAGTATCATAAAAAATAGAAATATAAATTTCTTTGTTATTTAGCGGAAGGTTGCAAAGAAATTTATATTTTTATTTTTTATTATAATGGATTTCCGCAAGTAACGCCAGATTCTATCAATTATCAATAAGTATCAATTCTCAAGCATTCTAAATTGTGTCTATAAAACCATATTTTTGACGTACTTGGCCTTAAGTCAGTATTTGTTACTTATAAAATATAAAATAAGTACCTAACATTTTTATTATATTGAAGCTTCAAATTTTTTTTGTAAAATGTTTTTGACCCCTGTACCGATCGTCAATCAGTCCTTGCTATACGTGAGAATGTGAACGATTGAGTAAGGTGATTTAATGTTGAAGTTCAAGTAACTCTTTCACATTGCTGTAACGAGGACTGCAAACTATGTAACTCATGATTGAGGGACACATCACCATCCTTACGTGTAATCCGCAGCTGGTGAAGCAGTTCCCGCTGGCGTTCGAGTTCAACGAGTACTACCTGCGGTTCGTGGCGTACCACAGCGTGTCGTGCCGCTTCCGCACGTTCCTGTTCGACAGCGAGGCGCAGCGTGCAGAGCTCGGCCTCACCGCCGCCGACGAGCGCCGCGACACCACGCGACTGGTATGTATAATGTCAAATAGTCCGTCCGTTCGAGTTCAACGAGTACTACCTGCGGTTCGTGGCGTACCACAGCCTGTCGTGCCGCTTCCGCACGTTCCTGTTCGACAGCGAGGCGCAGCGTGCAGAGCTCGGCCTCACCGCCGCCGACGAGCGCCGCGACACCACGCGACTGGTATGTATAATGTCAAATAGTGAAACAGTTCCCGTTCGTTCGAGTTCAACGAGTACTACCTGCGGTTCGTGGCGTACCACAGCGTGTCGTGCCGCTTCCGCACGTTCCTGTTCGACAGCGAGGCGCAGCGCGCCGAGCTCGGCCTCACCGTCGCCGATGAGCGCCGCGACACCACGCGACTGGTATGTATAATGTGCAACTAGTGAAGCAGTTCCCGTTCGTTCGAGTTCAACGAGTACTACCTGCGGTTCGTGGCGTACCACAGCGTGTCGTGCCGCTTCCGCACCTTGCTGTTCGACAGCGAGGCGCAGCGCGCCGAGCTCGGCCTCACCGTCGCCGACGAGCGCCGCGACACCACGCGACTCGTATGTCATACTGCACTCATTGTTTTTTTATTTAAATCGTGACTATGGATACGGTTGTTTCTATTAGGCCAGCTCTGCGGCTTTAATATATCGCGTAGCAAGTTACGCTCAATTGTCCTTTAGTCAACTGCGAACTGGCAAGAAGACTCTTAGACTCTTTTGTTTCACAGATTTTTATTGTTACTAAGAAAACGCTGTCTTTAGTTATTTGCACACTTTGTCAACATAATTTGGAGTTTATTTCAGATAAGTATAAGTACGTATAACTTTATTTCCTAAATGGAAATACGACTGCAGGACGTATTTACTGTGCCAGCTACCCGGTACAACTACACGGCCCGGAGCACGCCCGCAAGATCTCAACTGTGACATAATTATTTTCGTTCAGAATTACCTGTCTAATTGTATAACATAGTCTTTGGTTCAGTAGTCCGATGTGTATTTAATGTAAATAATTCTTCACAATATTATGGTGCTTCACATTGCGAAGTTTTTTAAAAGATTTTGATGACAGCTTATACCAGTGGACAAACCATATAGTATCTCAAGCTGCTCAAGCGAATAAAAAATTCTAAAATATATCACTATAGAAGCTCTTGTAACACCTTCTCCACTAATAAATAGTTCACATACGCACATATTTAATGTGCGACATTGCACCACTTTAACGTATCAAAACTCACTTCTTACAGCTCCCACCTGAAATTAGTTTTATCATCATCATTATATTATTATCACCACCTCCACCACCACCACCATCACCACCATCGTCATCATCATCATCATTAAAGCCCTTCACAAGTCCACTGCTGAAAATAGGCTGCCCCTAAGGAATGTCACAAAACACGGCCCTGGGTCACCTGCATCCTGTATGTCTTACCAGGTCGTCATTCCGTCTAGTGGGGAGGGGGGCATCCTACACCTGAATTGAGCCTAAGGCTTATTAAAATATAAAATGTTATTATAATAAACTATCTATTTGGCCAGGGCGTAGAAACAGGCGCAAGTGAAGACGAGTCCGGCGGGCGGACGGCGACGCACGGCGTGTCTCTGTTCGACTTCGTGGACCGAGTGCACCAGCGCAGCCCGCTCTTCTATAACTTCCTCTACACGCCAGACTTTGACAATCCGGTCAGTGGATATACTTCTTCCTCGTCCGCTTGTAAAAATCCAACGCTGGACGTGGGCCCTCTTCCGTTGTTGGGACGATTTACCTTAACCGTCACGCTTAGCGATGCTGCCCTTTTCACACACTTGACAATGTTGCCCGTTTAAATATAACAAGAGGGTATGTATGTCATGAAACTTTGGCAATGCCCAAAAACATAATCGATTAGAATAGGTAAATAAATTTTTATTTTCTAAACTAAAATCTTGACTACTGCAAAGGTTATTTTTTCATACAATAATGGCGACAAATAGCATCTGTCTTCAGTTAAGAATCGAAATGCGATGTCTCCCCTGAGAACTAATATAGAATACCTCATTTCCAGTAAAAAGGCTCATTCTTCTCATTCGCTTTTCTTTGAGTGCACCATACAAAACACAGCAGTAGGTATCCTGTGCGAGCGCGGTGTTTCCCCGGTCAAGCTGACCCATTCGTGCTAAAACAGCATCATTTAGCCGCGGCGTGTGCGTCGGGTGCAAAGCCATAAGATTGCATGCCTGCAATGCTTCTTTTTTGTCAGAAGCCTCATTAACAAGCCTTCGCGGACTAGACTGCCATCTGTCCATTTGTGTTGCCTTTTATCTGTTTTTGCTGCCATATAGCAATTGCACTGCTGTGTTGCGGTCTGAAGGGTACAGAGAGCCAATATAATTATAGGCTTAGATATTTCATCTTAGCCCTCACAGGTGACAATGAATCTGTGGTCTTCTTTATTTTAAAATGGCTGCAGGTGTCCATAGATTGAAATAGTCACTTACCACCAGGTGGACTGTAAGTTCGCTTGAGTTTCACTTCATCGCCTTAGTTTTATAATAAATGAATACCTTTATTTCACAGGTATTAAGGCCAGTGTCGGCGATAAACTGTCTAGAAGTGTGGGACTACTACGTAACGGAGGAGCTATCTCACGGTACACCATATGATCTGGAGCTGTTGCCATCTGAGCCCGAGCAAAAGCCATCGCGACGAGTAGTTACGGCAGGGTAAGAAGCAAATTAGTACATTTTGAAGTTTTTTAACGTAGGGAAATTCTCATAGATAACCAAACTGACTTCTACTCCTACTTACTCACGAGCTAGCGAGCTCCATGCAGTGTCATCAGACGTGTTTTTTGATCTTAAGTATGCTATGAATCTAAAAGTATTGTAGATTCCATTCATAGATTTAGTATTAACTGATGTTAGGCTAGATTGGCAATACAAAAGAGTATGAGCATAGTGTACGCGTATGTTAGAGCGAGATAGATAGGCTAGACCATTCACGTACACGCTATCAGCCTGGCGTCATCCGTGAACAAAACATATCCCGCTTGTATTTGCAAAATCTCAGGCTTTAAAGTGAAAATATAATAGTGTTTGTTAGGCGTAATTAATTACGACTATGTGCGTAGTACCTATACATAACTCAACTCAGAAAGACATCCTACATTATTATACATCTAACCCGTTGGTACGATCGAAATGTTTAGCTGTCTAAATGCTGTGTTTTAAAGCAATTGTACTCAAATGGATAGGAAAAGTTATCACACTTCATAATAATTATCATTTGAATGCAAAGCAATTTAATTTAAAATATTTACAAATACGTGAAATTCTGCAAATTTTTTAACCTCAACTTTGTAGAAATTGTATAATGTAAATTTCTACAAAGTTAAAGTGAAATTGAGTTAAAATTAGATTAGCAAGATACTATCGATAACTTATCGAAATAAGGATATGTCGCTGCTACTTTTTGCAGTTGCGTTGTGATTATACGAAAATGTCGCTGTGGTTACGTTGTCGCTAGTAGTTCCTTGTAAGCATGGGCGTTTTCAGTTTTTATCTGCAACGGTTACATAACCGATATCTAGTTTTCATATCGTTATTGAAAACCGTTTTCAGATATCGATATCAATAGTAATGGTTTGCTACTGAATGTGCAAACGACAACCGAACCATAACCGTAAACTGTGCACTGGTAGTCAACATGTATTTATAAATTACATAAATTATTCTAGATTAGAAGTCAGAGGTTCTAATGTTATTTGTTATCTTAGATGTAATTTTTAAACATGTATGTTAGTATATAATTTTTTGTATATTCAATGTTATGCAGTAATAAATTACACCGTCACTGTTACAGCTTATAAAAGTTTACTGCTGAACACATAGGCCTCCTCATAGATTGTATCATAGGTGGGATATGTGCCACAGTTGCCACGCTTGGCAAGCGAGTTGGCAACCACAGTTTTTTTGAAGCGAAACTTTTTACGGGAGGGCTTTGATTGAAATGCTTATCCGCAACCTTTTTGTATGTCGAGAAGTGGTGGGTGTTAACACTACGTACGTACCGGGCATTCGGTCGATCATTCAAGTCGCAAACGCAGAGCATTACATACCATAAAGTATATAGTAGTACAATTACAAGATTACAACGGTCTTTTGTTCAAATACTAATCTTATATTAATTTTATTTAAGACAGTTACCAAGGTACACGTATTATTTTAGTAAGATTAAGCTGAGCGCACTTCAGTAATAGCGCCATCTACTATGTTGTATCATCATCATCATTCATCATTACAGCCCTTCACAAGTCCACTGCTGAACATAGGCCTCCCCCAAGTAATGCCACAAAGCACGGTCCTGAGCCACCTGCATCCATCGACTTCCTGCATGTGTTACCAGGTCGTCACTCCATCTAGTGGGGGGTCGCCCTACACTGCGCCTACCGGTACGAGGCTGCCACTCGAGAACCTTTCTTCCCCATCGGTTATCGGTTCTTCGAGCTATATGGCCGGCCCATTGCCACTTTAGCTTACTAATCCGTTGGGCTATGTCGGTCGCTCTGGTTTTACTGCGGATAACCTCATTACTGAGTCTATCACGCAGAGAAACTCCGAGCATAGCCCTCTCCATAGCTCGCTAAGCGACCTTGAGCGTCCTCATACGGCCAGCAGTGAAGGTCCACGTCTCAGATCCATAAGTCATCAGTGGCAACACGCACTGGTTGTACAATCTAGTTTTTAGAGATTGAGGTATACCTGACGAGACGATATGTCGTAATTTCCCGAACGCTGCCCAGCCGAATTGAATCCGTCGATTGACCTCTCGGTCGAAGTTGGACTTACCTAGTCGGACTATTTGTCCCAGGTAAACGTACTCGTCAACAACTTCGACATTAGTGCTCCAACAACTACCAGCATAGGTGTGACATGGACATTAAACATGATCTTTGTTGTGTCCATGTTCATCTTAAGACCTATCCGTTGGGAGACACCATTGAGGTCATTGAGCATAGTGCCACAGATTAAATAATAGTACTACGTACAGAATGCACTCCTTTGATGTCGACTGCTTACCGACGTTTAATAGCCTACATAATTATTATTAATCAGATAAATCGCCCACGCAAGCTAAATAAAACTTTATCGCTGCGCGCTACTGTCCATATTACTTTGCATCTTTTTTGTCATGACGGACTTTCCGTGGTTATTAAGGGATGTCAATAAAAAGTAAGTTAATTATGTTACTTAGGTGAAGTACTAACTAATACTCTGACTATGATTGACTAACTATACTTTCGCCCATATGTGAGTTCTGCGATGCCTAACGCATGCAAATTGCAACGTCATTCGTCGGGAATCGTAACGCTTGGGAGAAATAGGTAGATAGTGTAAACAACAAATAAACCTGAAATACGATTTCTAACAGAAATATGATCTATTCTATCTAGTTAAAAATCTTTTTAGTATAAGAAGTTTTAATTTCAGTATTTTGTGTTATTATAACTCAAAATATTTTAATTACAAAAGAGAAGTATAGGTATGTAAGTAAATACTTGGATAGTGAAGTAAATTTTAACTAATTTTTGTAATGAAGTACTGAGCTATTTCTTCTGTAGACCGAATTATTACTTAGGTAATTCTTTTTTGCTGTGAGTACCTATCTAACAAAAAAATTAAATAAATTCACCTTTCATAACTTTCTTCTAAAATTCTTCGGTAACTTAAAGAATGATATGAAACCTTTTGTTGGTCATTTCATTAGTATCCATCTAAGCAACAGTTATAGTAGGAACGACGTTTTGCTATTATAATTTATCAAATAGGTAATATACATATCATATGATTTTTAAAATACTTTATTTTAAAAACTTTTACAACTATTTTTACCTACAATTAAATATACTAAACACTAAACAAAAACTATTTCAACAAATAGTTACATAAAACTATTTACGTAAACAGCGTTAAAAAACTCTAACATTCAATTGCCTCCAACGCGCTAGCCCTGACTGCGTTATTTCGCCCGGGCGCGTTGCGATTTTAGGTAATTATTTTACGCAGGTAGCAAGAGTGATACGAGGCCTGATAGTGCTTAGGTCCTCCAGCGTTTCTGTCATAAGGTCTATATCGTCAGCAAATCCAATGTGAGTGATATACTCGCTATTGATGTTAATACCGTATCCTTTCCAGTCCAGTAGCTTGAAAACGTCTTCCAATACAGCGGTGAAGAGTTTCGGGGAAATAACGTCACCTGTCTTACACCTCTTTGCAGTTGGATAGGTTTCGAGCTCTGGTTCTGTACTCAGATAGCCATCGTAGCCCTACTGTACAAACACTTCAGCACTTCGATATACCGACAGTCAACTTGGCACCGCTGAAGGACTGTAGCACCGCCCAAATTTCGACGGAATCAAAGGCTTCCTCATAGTCCACATACGCCAGGCAAAGTGGCAGATTGTACTCTTCGGTCTTCTGTACAATCTGCCGCAATAATAAATACAATCTGTCGCTGGTATGTATTTGGTCTATGGTACTGAAGCCTTTTCGGAAACCGGCTTGTTCGGGAGGCTGGAAGTCGTCGAGTCTGCGTGCGAGACGATTCGTAATGACTCTCGAAAACAGCACGTAGACGCGGCTCAGAAGGGATATCGGTCTGTAGTTCTTCAAGAGAGCGTTGTCGCCTTTCTTAAAGAACAAGACCGCCGCACTTCTGCTCCACGCCTCTGGAGTAGTGCCACCATGGAGGACGGAATTGAAGAGCTTCTGATGGACTTCAAGTACCGGTGTTCCACCCGCTTTCAGAAGCTCCGCTGTAATTCCATCCTCGCCTGGGGCCCTGCCGTTTTTAACGTGCTGGAGAGCCATTCTAATCTCGCTCAGACTGACGTCCGGGATATCATCGGAATAGTGAAATAGCAGTGTAGTGGCGGTTGAGAATATCCACTACCCCATATCTTCCCGTGGGTGTCGTAAGAGGCGACAGAGGGAGACAGGCAGGAGATGAGCAGCAGCATCTTCCTGATAACAGCAATGATATAATAAAAACTGCGGTTGCCAATCCGCTCGCCAAGCGTGGCAACTATGGCAAATATCCCCCCATGATTAACGACGCAAACAAACTGCCCCCAGTCCCCGTCGGTCCCGCTATTCCTAGCTACGGTGGCTCTTCGTTACTCACACTTGCGTGTGGCTCCAACGATGATGTGTACAGCTGCCCATAGAACCTCTCAATCTCAGGTGTCCCGGAAACGATGCTGTCACACTCAGTCTTCAGTTTTGACAGTTGGCTCTTTCGGGCAGACAGATCTCTGGCAAAGACTTTGGAGACCTGGTTCCGCTCGATCGCTTCTACGATACGAGCAGTATTAAAGTTGCGTAAGTCTCGCCGCATGCATTTGGAGATCAGTCTGTTCAGTTGCCTGTATGCTGTCAAATCTGTTGACGATTGCAGCCTCATCTCCCGTCTAACAGCCATGAGATTAAGAGTGTGATCGGAGAGTTTTTGTGTTCTTCTACGGCGGGTCTTGCAGAACTAAGCTCCGACCGCATGGTCAGTTTCCATGACGACGTGTAGTGGCGGTTAAGAATATCCACTACCCCATATCTTCCCGTGGGTGTCGTAAAAGGCGACAGAGGGAAACAGGCAGGAGATGGGCAGCAGCATCTTCTTGATAACAGCAACTGTACGACAAAAAAAACTGCGGTTGCCAACCCGCTCG